TGTAGCCCAGGCTGGAGAGCAGTGGCGTGATCTTGGCTCACTGTAACCTCTGCCTCCTGGGTCCCAGTTCAAGCGATTCTCCTACCTCAGCCTCCCAAGTGGCTGGGATTATAGTCATGAGCCACCATGACTAGCTAATTTTTCTTTTTTTTTTTAGTAAAGACGAGGCTTCACCATGTTGGCCAGTCTGGTCTTGAACTCCTGACCTCGTAATCCACCTGCCTCGGCCTCCCAAAGTGCTGGGATTACAGGTGTGAGCCACTGCGCCCAGCCAGTTAATTCTTTATATAAATATATATATAATACACAAATATATAATACTACATATATGTATATAATTTTTTATACTTAAAAAAAATCAGCTGGGTGCAGTGGCTCACACCTGTAATCCCAGCACTTGGGAGGCTGAGGTGGGTGGATCCCGAGGTCAGGAGTTCGAGACCAGCCTGGACAACATGATAAAACCCCCGTCTCTACTTAAAATACAAAAATTAGCTGGGCATGGGCCTGTAATCCCAGCTACTCAGGAGGCTGAGGCATGAGAATCACTTGAACCCCAGAAGTGGAGATTGGATCTTGTAGTTAGCTGAGATCATGTCACTGCACTCCAGTCCGGGTGACAGAGTGAGACTCTGTCTCAAACAAAAACAAAAACAAAAAAAAAAAACTTTTGAAAAATCTTTAAAAAAATCTAAATCTAAAAACAAAATCTTAAAATAAATCTAAGGCTTTAAAAATTTTTTTTTAGGGCCGGGCGCGGTGGCTCAGCCTGTAATCCCAGCACTTTGGGAGGCCGAGGCGGGTGGATCACGAGGTCGAGAGATCGAGACCATCCTGGTCAACATATTGAAACCCCGTCTCTACTAAAAATACAAAAAACTAGCTGGGCGTGGTGGCGCGTGCCTGTAATCCCAGCTACTTAGGAGGCTGAGGCAGGAGAATTGCCTGAGCCCAGGAGGCAGAGGTTGCGGTGAGCCGAGATTGCGCCATTGCACTCCAGCCTGGGTAACAAGAGCGAAACTCCGTCTCAAAAAAAAAAAAAAAAAAAAAAAAAAATTTTTTTAAATTGGTGCAGCCTGTATTCTATACATTAGAATGAAAGCTCCTTCAATTATTAAAAATATTATTGGATGATGGGAAACAAGAAGCCCACTCACCATTTCCAAAAAGAATATCCTTGGGGCTGGCGTGGCGACTCACGTCTGTAATTGCAGCACTTTGAGAGGCTGAGGCAGGCAGATCACACAAGGTCAGGAGATCAAGACCATCCTGGCCAACATGGTGAAACCCCGTCTCTACTAAAAACAAAAACAAGCCAGGCGTGGCAGCATGTGCCTATAGTCCCAGCTACTGGGGAGGCTGAGGCAGGAGAATTGCTTGAACCTGGGAGTCAGATGGAAGCTGCAGTGAGCCGAGATCATGCCACTGTACTCCAGCCTGGGTGACAGAGTGAGACTCCATCTAAAAAAAATATATATATATATCTTTTAAGCTAGTTAACTAACACTTTATAAGACCTGAATTTTTCTTATAAGTGTCCTTCTTTCCTTTATCTATACTGATTAAACACTGGATAGGCTTACCAGCTAAGGAGGGATAGCTAGGTAGAACTGCTTTACGAATAAGATGACATTGGGGAGGTCAGCTCTATTATATGATAGTTTAGCAATTTCAAATTGCAGTTATCTACATAAAGAGGAAAGTCGAGTAGGTCTGCCAGAAGCTACCTGACAAACAAGACATTGGCCCATGGGAACCAAAGCAAAGAATCTCTATTCTGGGCCTGGCGTGGTGGCTCACGCCTGTTAACTCCAGCACTTTGGGAGGCCGAGGCGGGTGGATCACAAGGTCTAGAGATCGAGACCATCCTGGTCAACAAGGTGAAACCCCGTCTCTACTAAAAATACAAAAAATTAGCTAGGCATGGTGGCACGTGTCTGTAATCCCAGCTACTCAGGAGGCTGAGGCAGGAGAATTGCCTGAACCCAGGAGGCGGAGGTTGTGTCGAGCCAAGATTGCGCCATTGCACTCCAGCCTGGGTAACAACAGCGAAACTCTGTCTCAAAAAAAAAAAAAAAAAAAAAGAATCTCTATTCTGAATGTGTTTAACTTAGCTTATCATTCCACATCAGGATCTGGAGAATTTCAATAGTTAGACTAATGACCAACTCTAGCTCTTTTCACAGGTTTGTGAGCATATAACTTTATTGGCTACAAAGTACTTTTAGAATATAAGAATAGTTGTTTTAATCAGCGTGACTGATCCAATATGAATCCAAAAAATTGTGAATGTTTTGAGTACATGTATATATAAATTTAATGTGCCGGGCGCGGTGGCTCAAGCCTGTAATCCCAGCACTTTCGGAGGCCGAGGCGGGTGGATCACAAGGTCAAGAGATCGAGACCATCCTGGTCAACATGGTGAAACCCCGTCTCTACTAAAAAATACAAAAAAAATTAGCTGGGCATGGTGGTGCGTGCCTATAATCCCAGCTACTCAGGAGGCTGAGGCAGGAGAATTGCCTAAACCCAGGAGGCGGAGGTTGCGGTGAGCCGAGATCGTGCCATTGCACTCCAGCCAGGGTAACAAGAGCGAAACTCCATCTCAAAAAAAAAAAAATAAATAAAAATAAATAAATAAATAAATTTAATGTAAAGTTTTTGTTATCATCCAGCTGAATGCAAATTTATTTATTTAATTTTTTTTTAGAGACAAGATTTCACCATGTTGGCCAGGCTGGTCTTGAACTGTCGACCTCATGATCTAACCGCTTCAGCCTCCCAAAGTGCTGGGATTACAGGCGTGAGCCACTGCACCCAGCCAGAATGCAAATTTATTTTAAATAACTGTTGATAGCCTATAAAATGAAGATCACTATTGCCCCCTTGTGGGCATGTCAGGGTGGAACTTTGCTAAGAAATTATGTTTTCATTTAATAGCTATTATTGAAGTCCTGCTACAAAATGGACCCTGAAATACAAAATCTTAAACTCTCACAACAACCTCATAAAGTAGACATTATGAGCTTCACAGATAAGTAAACAAGGCATAGAGAAGTATGTAGTTTTCCTAAGGTCAAGCAACTAGTGAACCAATAATTGTTTGAACACAATTCTGATTCCAAAATTCTATGTCTATTACATACATTGCTTCTTCTCTTTTACCACACTATCTCTCAAGAACAATAGCTTAGTCAAGATCTTTCCTTTGATATTATACAAACTTAACTAAGAATACTGTTATTTTCAAATAAAAATCAGAAACAGAAAAAGAAACCAATAGTCAATTCGAAAATTTATTTAAATGAGGACACAAGTTATTTAATGGTAAAACACACATTTTTAAAAGGAGATGCTGAAAATAAATAATTCATTCTTTTTTAGGCAGGTATTTCTCTTGTTACCCAGGCTGGAGTGCAATGGCGCGATCTTGGCTCACCGCAACCTCCGCCTCCTGGGTTCAGGCAATTCTCCTGCCTCAGCCTCCTGAGTAGCTGGGATTACAGGCACGCGCCACCATGCCCAGCTAATTTTTTGTATTTTTTTAGTAGAGACGGGGTTTCACTATTTTGACCAGGATGGTCTCGATCTCTTGACCTTGTGATCCACCCGCCTCGGCCTCCCAAAGTGCTGGGATTACAGGCTTGAGCCACCGTGCCCGGCTCTTTTTTTTTTTTTTTTTTTTTTTGAGACGGAGTTTCGCTCTTGTTACCCAGGCTGGAGTGCAATGGCACGATCTCGGCTCACCGCAACCTCCGCCTCCTGGATTCAGGCAATTCTCCTGCCTCACCCTCCTGAGTAGCTGGGATTACAGGCACGAGCCACCATGCCCAGCTAATTTTTTGTATTTTTAGTAGAGACGGGGTTTCACCATGTTGACCACGTTGGTCTCGATCTCTTGACCTCGTGATCCACCCGCCTCGGCCTCCCAAAGTGCTGGGATTACAGGCTTGAGCCACCGCGCCCGGCTCTTTTTTTTTTTTTAAGACGGAGTTTCGCCCTTGTTACCCAGGCTGGAGTGCAATGGCGCGATCTCGGCTCACCGCAACCTCCGCCTCCTGGGCTTAGGCAATTCTCCTGCCTCAGCCTCCTCAGTAGCTGGGATTACAGGCACGCACCACCATGCCCAGCTAATTTTTTGTATTTTTGGTAGAGACGGGGTTTCATCATGTTGACCAGGATGGTCTCGATCTCTCAACCTGGTGATCCACCCGCCTCGGCCTCCCAAAGTGCTGGGATTACAGGCTTGAGCCACCGCGCCCGGCTATTTTCTTTTTATATATGCACTCAAGAACAAATCCAGACTCTTATACTTTATTCAGATAATCACATTTACCTTTTATATCAGTACCCCAAAAGCAACTTATGTTTATTCTGCTTTGTTATTGCTTTAAACTATTAATGGTTGTTCTCCTTATCTGTACCATATTGAAGCACCCTTATATTTTCATTTTTGGTCTAGGTATAACCCTTCGGTATTTTTTTTTTTTTTTTTTTTTGAGACAGGGTCTTGCTCTGTCACCCACCCTGGAGTACAGTGGCACAATCATAGCTCACAGTAAGTCCAACTCCTGAGCTCATGAGATACTCCCATGTCAGTCTCCCTAGTAGCTGAGACTACATGTATGCAACACCATGCCCACCTAATTTATTTTTGGTAGAGGATGGGGTCTTGCCATGTTGCCTAGTCCAGGGTGACCTCAAGCAATCCTCCCACCTTGGCCTCCCAAAGCACTGGGATTACAGATATGAGCCACTGTGCCAGGCCAGAATATTTTACTTTTAACACAATGAGTATTCCTTTATAATCCCTACATATGGTCTTCCCTTCCCCAGAAAGAATAAGTACCTTTGCTTTGAAATCTATTACAAATCTTCTGCTTTGGGCACATTTTAATTAGGGAGTGGATATTAGACAGGGTATCCATTCATTTCTAGGAAAATCTAGGGTTCTGCGCAGTTTTGAGTTTAAAATAAATGTCATGTTATCAGAACATTACCTGAGGTTGTTTTGCTGTTGGTTGAAGACACAAGGCTAGCAAGGTTAACAACCTCTCCCGACGTGAAGATAAATGGAGCAGACATAGTCACAGGGTTAGTCACAAGGTTGGCTCTCTCTGGATTAGCATTCACCTGATTCTGCATTGCTTCCTACCAGGCAGGATATTTCAAAGTCAGAATACTTATTAGCTTTTTTCTTTTATTTTTATTTTTTATTTTAATTAATTAATATTTGTTTTGTTTTGTTTTGTTTTTTGTTTTTTGGGACGGAGTTGCACTCTTGTTACCCAGGCTGGAGTGCAATGGCATGATCTCAGCTCACTGCAACCTCCGCCTCCTGGGTTCAGGCAATTCTCCTGCCTCAGCCTCCTGAGTAGCTGGGATTACAGACACGCAACACCATGCCCAGCTAATTTTTTGTATTTTTAGTAGAGATCAGGTTTCACCATGTTGACCAGGATGGTCTCGATCTCTTGACCTCGTGATCCACCCGCCTCGGCCTCCAAAAGGGCTGGGATTACAGGCGTGAGCCACTGCGCCCGGCTATTTTTTTTTAAAGAGATGGGGTCTCCCTATCTTGCCCAGGCTGGAGTGCAGTGACTATTCACAGGCGCGATCCCACTACTGATCAGCACAGGAGTTTTAACCTGCTCTGTTTCCGACCTGGGCCGGTTCATCCCTCCTTAGGCAACCTGGTGGTCCCCCGCTCCAGGGAGGTCACCATATTGATGCTGAACTTAGTGCGGACACCTGATTGGCATAGCACACTACAGCCCAGAACTCCTGGACTCAAGAGATCCTCCAGCCTCAGCCTCCCGAATAGCTGGGACTACAGGCACACGCCACCATGCCAGGCTTATTTTATTTTTTAAGACAGAGTCTCGCCGGGCACGGTGGCTCAAGCCTGTAATTCCAGCACTTTGGGAGGCCGAGGCGGGTGGATCACGAGGTCAAGAGATCGAGACCATCCTGGTCAACATGGTGAAAACCCGTCTCTACTAAAGTTGCAAAAAATTAGCTGGGCATGGTTGTGCGTGCCTGTAATCCCAACTACTCCGGAGGCTGAGGCAGGAGAATTGCCTGAAACCAGGAGGCGGAGGTTGCGGTGAGCCAAGATCACGCCATTGCACTCCAGCCTGGGTAACAAGAGCGAAACTCCGTCTCAAAAAAAAAAAGACAGAGTCTCACTCAGTGGCCCAGGCTGGAGTACAGTGGCGTGTTCTCAGCTCACTGCAACCTCTGCCTCCTGGGTTCAAGCAATTCTCATGCCTCAGCCTCCTGAGTCGCTGGGATTACAGGTGTGTGCCACCACACCCGGCTAATTTTTTGTATTTTTAGTAGAGATGGGGTTTTGCCATGTTGCCCAGCCTGGTCTCAAACTCCTGAGCTCAGGCGATCTGCCCACCTTGGTCTCCCAAAATGCTGGGATTACAGGCATGAGCCACCGTGCCCAGCCCAAGAACCCTTACTAGCTTTAGTTTCACAGTTACTGAACAGCATACTTCAGTCCCACCCCAATGCTCCATCAAGCAGAACTACTTCCTATATACAGTGTCCCAGAGAGCTCAGAGTTCTCATTAAGACTACCATTTTTGGCCGGGTGCGGTGGCTCACACCTGTAATCCCAGCACTTTGGGAGGCCGAGGTGGGTGGATCATGAGGTCAAGAGATCGAGACCATCCTGGTCAACATGGTGAAACCCCGTCTCTACTAAAAATACAAAAAATTAACTGGGCATGGTGGCGCGTGCCTGTAATCCCAGCTACTGAGGAGGCTGAGGCAGGAGAATTGCCTGAACCCAGGAGGCGGAGGTTGCGGTGAGCCGAGATCGCGCCATTGCACTCCAGCCTGGGTAACAAGCAAAACTCTGTATCAAAAAAAAAAAAAAAAAAAAAAAGAAAAAAGACTACCATTTTTAGGGCTGGGTGTGGTGGCTCACGCCTATAATCCCAGCACTTTGGGGGGCTGAGGCAGGCGAATTAGGAGGTCAGGAGTTCAAGTCCAGCCTGGCCAACATAGTGAAACCCGTCTCTACTAAAAATACAAAAAATTAGCTGAGTGTGGTGGTGCACACCTGTAGTCCCAGCTATTCCAGAGGCCGAGGCCGAAGAATTGCTTGAATCCAAGAGGTGGAGGTTGCAGTGAGCCAAGATCACGCCACTGCATGCCAGCTTGGGCAACAGAGTGACACATCATCTCAAAAAAAAAAAAAAAAAAAAGACTACCATTTTTAGCCAGGCATGGTGACTCATGCCTGTAATTCCAGCACTTTGGGAGGCTGAGGCAGGTGGATCTCCTGAGGTTGGGAGTTCAAGACTAGCCTGACCAACATGGAGAAACCCTGTCTCTACTAAAAATACAAAATTAGTTGGGCATGGTGGTGCATGCCTGTAATCCCAGCCACTTGGGAGGCTAAGACCAGAGAATCGCTTGAACCTGGGAGGCAGAGGTTGCTGTGAGCCAAGAAAAGACTACTATTTTTTTTTTCAGACCAGGCCAACAGAGTTGTTAGGCTTCTTTCAAAGCTTCTTCTACTTCAGGAAAGCAAAGGTAGTAGAAAGCAAAGGTATACTATTTGCGTGGCCGGGCGCGGTGGCTCAAGCCTGTAATCCCAGCACTTTGGGAGGCCGAGGCGGGTGGATCACAAGGTCAAGAGATCGAGACCATCCTGGTCAACATGGTGAAACCCCGTCTCTACTAAAAATACAAAAAAAATAGCTGGGCATGGTGGTGCGTGCCTGTAATCCCAGCTACTCAGGAGGCTGAGGCAGGAGAATTGCCTGAACCCAGGAGGCGGAGGTTGCGGTGAGCCGAGATCGCGCCATTGCACTCCAGCCTGGGTAACAAGAGCGAAACTCCGTCTCAAAAAAAAAAAAAAAAAAAAAAAAAAAAAAAGGTATACTATTTGCAAAAACTTCTAGACAATTCACTTAACCTCTCTGGATCTTGGTTTTTCCATTTGAAAAATGAGTGAGTCGGGCCAGGCACGGTGGCTAACATCTGTAATCCCAGCACTTTGGAAGGCTGAGGCGGGTGGATAACTTGAGGTCAGGAGTTCGAGACCAGCCTAGCCAACATAGTGAAACCCCATCTCTACTAAATACAAAAATTAGCCCGGCATGGTGGCAGGCGCCTATAATCCCAGCTAATCAGGAGGCTGAGGCAGGAGAATTGCTTGAACCTGGGTGTGGGCGGAGGTTGCAGTGAGCTGAGATCATGACATTGCACTCCAGCCTGGGAGACAAAGTGAGATTCTGTCTCCAAAAAAAGAAAAGAAAAATATCAGCCAGGCATGGTGGTAATCCCAGCTACTTAGGAGGCTCAGACAGGAGAACTGCTTGAACCGGGGAGGCGAAGGTTGCAGTGAGCCGAGATAATGCCACTGCACTCCAGCCTGTATGACAGAACCAGACTCCATCTCAAAAGAAAAAAAAAGAAGGCTGGGTGGGGTGGCTCATGCCTGCAATCTCAGCACTTTGAGAGGCTGAGGCGGGCGGATCACCTGAGGTCAGGAGTTCAAGACCAGCCTGGCCAACATGGTGAAACCCTGTCTTTTTTTTTTTTTTTTTTTTGAGACGGAGTTTCGCTCTTGTTACCCAGGCTGGAGTGCAATGGCGCGATCTCGGCTCACCGCAACCTCCGCCTCCTGGATTCAGGCAATTCTCCTGCCTCAGCCTCCTAAGTAGCTGGGATTACAGGCACACGCCACCATGCCCAGCTAATTTTTTGCACCTTTAGTAGAGACGGGGTTTCACCATGTTGACCAGGATAGTCTCGATCTCTCGACCTCGTGATCCACCCGCCTCGGCCTCCCAAAGTGCTGGGATTACAGGCTTGAGCCACCGCGCCCAGCCGAAACCCTGTCTTTAAAAAAAAAGAAAAGAAGGCCGGGCGCAGTTGCTCAAGCCTGTAATCCCAGCACTTTGGGAGGCCGAGGCGGGTGGATCACGAGGTCAAGAGATGGAGACCATCCTGGTCGACATGGTGAAACCCCGTCTCCACTAAAAATACAAAAAATTAGCTGGGTATGGTGGCGTGTGCCTGTAATCCCAGCTGCTCAGGAGGCTGAGGCAGGAGAATTGCCTGAACCGAGGAGGCAGAGGTTGTGGTGAGCCGAGATCGCGCCATTGCACTCCAGCCTGGGTAACTAAAGAGCGAAACTCTGTCTCAAAAAAAAAAAAAAAAAAGAAAGAAAGTAAAGAAAAAAGAAAAATGAGGGAGTTGGCTTGAATAGTCTAAAAAGTAATTTCCAACACTAATATTTTGTGATTAATTATCTACAAGTCAGTGTGTTAGCAAAAGATCCCTGCAGAGTATCTACAGAGAACAATATTCTCTAGAGTTTTATCCAACTACTTGTTCCATTCTGCTATCAAAGAAATTCCTAAGAGAATATATAACAAGCAAATAAATAAGTGCCAGATTTTAAAGTCTCACTCCATATGCTGTACTTTTGCTTCCAGGGATAGCTGTTCAATTTTGGAGAAAAGTAGCTTATCTTTATTTTATTACTTGCAGAAGCAGCTTTCTACAAACATAATCACTACTTTAAAAAGTCCAGTTATGGGGACTCCATGTTTGGATCCCCTTCCACGAACACTCTTGTGCTCGTGGAAGCTGTTTTTCTCTATCCTGGATTTCCCCTCTGGAGTCCTCTTCCACCAACACTCCCTTTGTGGGTAGAAGCTGGTCTTCTCCTCCTAAACTCCATCTTTCTCTATTCCCTTCCATTCAGTGTGGAAGCTGCTTTCCTCTCCTGGATTCCATCTTTCTGGATTTTCTCACTCAGTCAGTTGTTTCTCTTTCTCCTGTTTTTCTCTCTCTCTAAATAAATCACTTTCTTTTTTTTTTTTTTTTTTTTTTTGAGACGGAGTTTCGCTCTTGTTACCCAGGCTGGAGTGCAATGGCGTGATCTTGGCTCACCGCAACCTCTGCCCTCTGGGTTCAGGCAATTCTCCTGCCTCAGCCTCCTGAGTAGCTGGGATTACAGGCACGCGCCACCATGCCCAGCTAATTTTTTGTATTTTTAGTAGAGACGGGGTTTCACCATGTTGACCAGGATGGTCTCGACCTTGACCTCGTGATCCACCCACCTCGGCCTCCCAAAGTGCTGGGATTACAGGCTTGAGCCACCGCTCCCGGCCAATAAATCACTTTCTACAAAAAAAAAAAAAAAAAAGTCCAGTTATGAAAGGGCTCTAAAGAAAGAATTGAAAGTTGAAGGGGCTAAATATAGTCTATAGGCCATCTGTCAAAAAACAAAAAACAAACAAAACTGAAAATGAAGCAGAAATAGCTATTTTTTTCTTTTTTTTTTTTTTTGTAGAGGTGGAGTCTCGTTCTGTCACCCAGGCTGGAGTGCAGTGGTACGATCTTGGCTCACTGCAACCTATGCCTCCCAGATTCAAGCAATTCTCTTGCCTCAACCTCCCAAGTAGCTGGGACTACAGGTGCACACTGCCACACCCGGTTAATTTCTTTTGTATTTTAGTAGAGATGGGGTTTCACCGTGTTGCCCAGGCTGGTCTTGAACTCTTGAGCTCAGGCAATCCACCTGCCTCAGCCTCCCAAAGTGCTGGGATTACAGGCGTGAGCCACCACACCTGGCCTAAATTCCTTCTTGAATTTACCCTTTTCCTTTGTCCTGTACTAGGACATGAAATGTTTACAGCAGGCGTCCCCAAACTACGGCCTGCGGGGCCGCATGCAGCCCCCTGAGGCCATTTATCCGGCCCCCCGCAGCACTTCAGGAAGGGGCACCTCTTTCACTGGTGGTCAATGAGAGGAGAACAGTATGTGGCGGCCCTCCAACGGTCTGAGGGACAGTCAACTGGCCCCCTGTGTAAAAAGTTTGGGGACGCCTGGTTTACAGCATGATAAAATTAAAGATAAGAAATAAAATATTATAATATGACATGACAGACATCCTGTAAGGGCTGTGGAAGCACAGAGGAAGGAAGAGTAGTATTGCTATATGGCAAAAAAGCATTGCCTTATTTCGAGTCCTCATTGGCTCCTGCCTGGCCTAATGAAAGTCACCATATAGTTACTTAGCATTAAGTGTCTTCTTTCTCTCATCTGTGTGCCACACTCCAAAGAATCATCTTTTTATAATAAATTTAATCATATCAGTCCTCTATTTAAAAACTTCTATCCAAATCCATCACCCACATGACAATTGAAACTCCTGCGCATGCTGTGTAACATCTCTATGTTCAGAATCCAGCCTAACTTTCAAGCTCAGCATCTGCTACTCCCAAACTCTACTTCCTTTGCCCATTCTCTCATCACTCAACTGCTTTTTCTTGAACATTCCACGTTCTTTCATACCTGTCTTTGATTTGCTCTTTTTCTAGCCTAGAATACAGTTTTTTCACTTCTCTGCCTACTTCAATATTCAGTTCAAATTCTACTATTCTGTTCTCTGTGCTCCCACAGCACTTGTAAGGTATCTATTTAACATGCAGTGAAATATTTTATTTCCTGTCTTTACTTTTATCGTGCTGTGAACACTTCATGTCCCCCCTTTTTTTTTTTTAAAGATTCAGTCTTGCTCTTATCCGCCACGCTGGAGTGCAGTGGTGTGATCTCAGCTCACCACAACCTCTGCCTACAGGTTCAAGTGATTCTCCTGCCTCAGCTTTCCGAGTACCTGGGATTACAGGTGCGTGCCACCATGACTGGCTAATTGTTTTTGTAGTTTTAGCAGAGACAGGGTTTCACCATATTGGACAGGCTGGTCCAACTCCTGACCTCACGTGATCCACCTGCCTCGGCCTTTCAAAGTGCTGGGATTATAGGTGTGAGCCACCGTGCCCGGCCCATGTCCTATTAATTTTTATATCCCCTGTCCTGTTGTTCCCTGTTTTAAGAAATTAATGGACAGGCCTGGCACAGTGGTATGCACCTGTAATCTCAGCACTTTGGGAGGCCGAGGCAGGCAGATCATGAAGTCAGGAGTTTGAGACCAGCCTGGCCAACATAGTGAAATCCTGTCTCTACTAAGAAGACAAAAATTAGCTGGGTATGGTGGCATGAGCCTGTAGTCCAAGCTACTCGGGAGGCTGACACAGGAGAATCACTTAAACCCGGGATGCAGAGGCTGCCCTAAGCCAAGATCGTGCCACTGCACTCCAGCCTGGGCAACAAAGCAAGACTCCATCTCGAAAATAGTAATAATAATAATAATAATAATAATAATAATAAGCTGAGCATGGTGATGTGCACCTGTTGTCCCAGCTGCTTGGGAGGCTAAGGTGGGAGAATCCCTCGAACCCAGGAAATCAAGGCTGCAGTGAGTTGAGATCATGCCACTGTACTCCAACCTGGGCAAAAGAGTGAGACTCTGCTTCACAAAAAACAAAACAAAACAAAAAAGGACAAAATCATTACAGTTAATTTTAAATTCTGAAGTGGTTTCCTTGTCACTCAATATGCTTTAGAACTTCATAGATGGTCCACAATTTATAAGGGGGTTCAATGATTTTTCAGCTTTGCCATGGTGTGAAAGTGATCTGACTTATTATGGGGTTACATCTGCATCCAGTGTAACCCTATCAGGGAGCATCTGTATACTGTCTCACATCAGTTGATGAATATTCAGAAAACATAAAGTAACTTTTAATATTGTCCCAAGTCAAGTTTAATTAGAAAAGGAAATTTTCATGGAGAAAAAAAACATTCTAAAGACAAATAAACATTTTTAGTACTAGCCATGACATGGTTCTTTAATCACCATGAATAATTCAGGACTTTATAGAATATATATAAACACACACATATATATGTATTTTTTTCCTTTTGTTCTGTCTTTTTTTTATATTTATATTTTTATTTATTTATTCTTTTTAAGACAGGGTTTCACCATGTTGGTCAGGCTGGTCTTGAACTCCCGACCTCAGGTGATCCGCCCACCTTGGCCTCCAAAGTGCTTGGATTACAGGCGTGAGCCACAGCGCCTGGCTTTTTTTTTTCTTTTTTCTTTTGAGACAGTGTCTTGCTCCTGTTGGCCAGGCTGGAGTACAATGGTATGATTTCAGCTAACTGCAACATCCACCTCCGAGGTGCAAGTGATTCTCCTGCCTCAGCCTCCCAAGTAGCTGGGATTACAGGCATGTACCACCATGCCCAGCTAATCTGTGTATTTTTAGTAGAGATGGGATTTCTCCATGTTAGTCAGGTTGGTCTAGAATTCTCAACCTCAGGTGATCCGCCTGCCTTGGTTTCCCAAAGTACTGGGATTACAGGCGTGAGCCACCTTGCCTGGCCTTTTCTTTCTTTTTTTTTTTTTTCTTCTGAGACAGAGTCTCACATTGTTGCTGGGGCTGGTGTGCAGTGGCACAATCGTAGCTCACTGCAACCTCTGCCTCCCGGGTTCAGGCGATTCTTTTGCCTCAGCCTCCCAAGTAGCTGGGATTACAGGCATGTGCCACCGCACCCAACTAATTTTTTGTATTTTTAGTAGAGACGAGGTTTCACTATGTTGGTCAAGCTGGTCTCGAACTCCTGACTTCATGATCCACCTGCCTTGGCCTCCAAAAGTACTGGGATTACAGGCGTGAGCTACTGTGCCTGGCATACATATGTATTTTAAAGATACTAATAACACTGAATCACAAGATTGAGACAGAAGTACTATTTTAAGAAGATAGGAAAAATTAAGTTTTGATTCAATTCCTACAAAAAAAAAAAAATCCTTAACTTCAATTGAAGTTTAAGCTGGAGAGTATAAAAGAGTATAAAAAGAACCATACCTGGAGGATGACCAAAATCTCAGCACTGTTTTTCTCCAGAGCTATGTCAAAGGCAGATTTATCAAATTTGCTGAAAGCATGGACATCAGCTCCGTATTTGATAAGTAACTCCACAACATCTCGATGGTGGCGCTCTGTGGCCCAGTGCAAAGCTGTCATCTTCAGCATGTCCTTGGCATTCACATCTGCACCATTCTGTCATAGAAAAGCATTTTTTTTCAATACACAGTGGTTACAGTAGCATAGACGCAACATCCCATCATCAAATACAGAGGATTTCCATAGAGATTACATACTCAAATCTAGATGCCATTGAAAGAATATCAAAGGGAAAAACATTTCTCAAATTCTCCTAACTGCTGACAGACGAGTGAGTCTTCAATGCGTGGGTCCTCTAAGGACACTGAGAAATTAGACAGATGGAAGAGGAAGAGAGAAAGAACAGATTTTGTTGCATTATTAACAGAGAGCCAAGTGCCTACAAAAATAGGCATAAGTGCAGATAATACCTTCGGAAAGGGAAAGAAGAAAAATAAGTCTGTTTAAAACGCCTTTAAAAAATTAGAAAAACTTGAGCTCAAGAGTTTGAGACAAGCCTGGGCAACAGGGTGAAACCCCATCCCCACCAAAAATTCAAAACATTAGCCAGCTATGGTAGGCTGTCCCTGTGGTCCCAGCTACTGGGGAGGCTGAGGTGAGAGGATCTCTTGAGCTTGGGAGGTGGAGGTTGCAGTGAGCTGACATTGCACCACTGCACTCCAGCCTGGGCGATAGAGTAAAATCCCTATCTACAAAAAAATACAAAATAAATAATAAATAATAATAATAAGTTGGAAAACTAGGCTGGGCACAATGGCTCATGTCTATAATCCCAGTACTTTGGAAGGCCAAGGATGGAAGGATCACTTGAAGCCAAAAGTTTTAAGATCAGCCCAGTCAACATAGAGAGACCTCATCTTTATTTAAAAAAATATATATGATTTCAAGAAAATTAGAAAACTGGCTAGGCACAGTAACCCCACACCTGTAATCTCAGTGCTTTGGGAGGCTGAGGTAGGAGAATTGCTTGAGGCCAGGAGTTTAAGGCCAGCCTGGACTGGGCAATACAATTAGACCCTATTCTTTACAAAAAATAAAAATATATGATCTGGGCATGGTGGTGCATGCCTATAGTCCTAGCCATTTGGGAGGCTGAGGCAGTAGAATTGCTTGAACCCAGGTGTTGAAAGCTGCAGCGAGCTATGAATATGCCACTGCTCTCTAGCCTGGGCAACAGAGTGAGCCGCCTCAAATTTAAAAAAATTGTTTTAGGGCTGGGCGCAGTGGCTCAAGCCTGTAATCCCCGTACTTTGGGAGGCTGAGGTGAGTGGATCACGAGGTCAGAAGCCTGGCCAATATAGTGAAGCCCCGTCTACTAAAAATGCAAAAAAATTAGTCAGGTGTGGCGGCAGGCACCTATAATCCCAGCTACTTGGGAAGCTGAGGCAAGAGGATCGCCTGAACCAGGGATGCAGAAGTTGCAACGAGCCAAGATCACGCTACTGTACTCCAGCCTGGGAGACGGTGCAATACTTTGTCTTTTTTTCTTTTCTTTTCATTTTTTTTAAAAAAAATAATCATTTAGCCGGGCGCGGTGGCTCAAGCCTGTAATCCCAGCACTTTGGGAGGCCGAGGCGGGTGGATCACGAGGTCAAGAGATCGAGACCATCCTGGTCAACATAGTGAAACCCCGTCTCTACTAAAAATACAAAAAATTAGCTGGGCATGGTGGTGCGTGCCTGTAATCCCAGCTACTCAGGAAGCTGAGGCAGGAGAATTGCCTGAACCCAGGAGGCGGAGGTTGCGGTGAGCCGAGATCGCGCCATTGCACTCCAGCCTGGGTAACAAGAGCGAAACTCCGTCTCAAAAAAAAAAAAAAAAAAATCATTTAGCCGGGCGCGGTGGCTAAAGCCTGTAATCCCAGCACTTTGGGAGGCTGAGGCGGGTGGATCACGAGGTCAAGAGATTGAGACCATCCTGGTCAACATGGTGAAACCCCGTCTCTACTAAAGATACAAAAAAAAAAAATTAGCTGGGCATGGTGGCACATGCCTGTAATCCCAGCTGCTCAGGAGGCTGAGGCAGGAGAATTGCTTGAACCCAGGAGGCGGAGGTTGCGGTGAGCCGAGATCGCGCCATTGCACTCCAGCCTGGGTAACAGGAGCAAAACTCCGTCTCAAAAAAAAAAAATAATAATAATCATTTATTTATTTATTTAAAGATGGGGTTTCACCATGTTGGTCAGGATGGTCTTGAACTCCCGACCTCAGGTGATCCGCCCTCCTTGGCCTCCAAAGTGCTTGGATTATAGGCGTGAGCCACCACGCCTGGCCAATACTTTGTCTTTAAAAAAAAAAAAGAAGTGTTTTAATAAATTAGAAAACAGCCAGGAACAGTGGTTCACACCTGTAATCCCAGCACTTTCGGAAGCTGTGGTGGGTAGATCGCCTGAGGTCAGGAGTTCGAGACAAGCTTGGGCAATATGGTGAAACCCTGTCTCTACTAAAAACACAAATATTAGCTGGGTGTAATAGCAGGTGCCTGTAATCCGAGCTACTCGGGAGACAGGCAGGAGAATTGCTTGAACCCAGGAGGCGGCGGTTGTGGTCAGCTGAGATCACACCACTTCACTCCAGCCTGAGTGACAAGAGCGAGACTGTCTCAATAAATAAATAAATAAGAGGGGCCGGGCGCGGTGGCTCAAGCCTGTAATCCCAGCACTTTGGGAGGCTGAGTCAGGTGGATCACGAGGTCAAGAGATTGAGACCATCCTGGTCAACATGGTGAAACCCCGTCTCTACTAAAAATGCAAAAAATGAGCTGGGCATGGTGGCGTGTGCCTGTAATCCCAGCTACCCAGGAGGCTGAGGCAGGAGAATTGCCTGAACCCGGGAGGTGGAGGTTGCGGTGAGCCGAGATCGCGCCATTGCACTCCAGCCTGGGTAACAAGAGCGAAACTCTAAATAAATAAATAAATAAATAAATAAATAAATAAATAAGAAAACAGAGTCCTCCAGCCATGAAGACTCCTGGAGACTCAAATCAATTCTATAAACTGCCCTAAACTTAATCCTTCCCAACTTGGTTTGCTAGCACTCATTTAAGTAAGAAAACAAGAAGGTGGATGTCTTCTTTAAAACATAACCTTGCCACTATTCTTGCTTTACCCGAACAAGCAGTTCCACGATGTGTGCATGTCCATCAGCCGCAGCCATGTGCAAGGGGGTCCTGTCCACTTTGGTCCGGGCATCCCTGCTAACGCCTGCTCGAAGGAGTACTTCTGCTGTGGAATAATGGCCATACTGAGCTGCAAGGTGAAGGGGTGATGTTCCAAGCTGTGGGAAAATAATACTCATTGAATATCCATTGTGTGTAGAGTCCTAGATCATTATTGGAGAGATACAAATGAACAAGCTATGGTTCTTGTCCTTCAAGAGAGAATCTGGTTGGCAGATAAAACTGAAGAAATGGTTAAATTTAAAAGTTAGCCAGGTGCAGTGGCTCATGCCTGTAATCCCAGAACTTTGGGAGGCCAAGGCGGGTGGATCACATGAGGTCAGGAGTTCAAAACCAGCCTGGCCAACATGGTGAAACCCCATCTCTACTAAAAATACAAAAATTAGCTGGGTCTGATGGCGGGCACCTGTAATCCCAGCTACTCAGGAGGCTGAGACAGGGGAATTGCTTGAACACGGGAGGCAGAGGTTGCAGTGAGCCAAGATCGTGCCATTGCACTCCAGCCTGGCGACAGATCAAAATTCCATCTCAAAAAAAAAAAAAAAAAATTTAGGCTGGGCATGGTGGCTCACACCTGTAATGCCAGCACTTTGGGAGGCTGAGGTGGGAGGATCACCTGAGTTAGGAGTTCAAGACCAGCCTGACCAACATGGAGAAACCAAAATTAGATGGGCATAGTGGCACATGCCTGTAATCCCAGCTACTTGGGAGACTGAGGCAGGATAATTGCTTGAACCCAGGAGGCAGAGGCTGGAGTGACCCAAGATGGTGCCATTGCACCCTAGTCTGGGCAACAAAAGCGAAACTCCGTCTCAAAAATAAATAAATAAATAAAAATACAAATTAAAGGCCACGAGCCGGGCACAGTGGCTCACACCTGTAATCGCAGCACTTGGGGAGGCTGAGGGAGGCTGAGGCAGGCGGATCACCTGTGGTCAGGAGTTCAAGACCCACCTAGCCAACGTAGTGAAACCCCATCTCTACTAAAAAATACAAAAAAAGCTAGCTGGGTATGGTGGTAGGCACCTGTAATCCCAGCTACTTGGAAAGCTGAGACAGGGAGAATTGCTCTGAACCTGGGAGGCAAAGGTTGTAGTGAGCTGAAATTGCGCCACTGCACTCCAGCCTGGGCAAAAGAGTGAAACTCTATCTCAAAAAAAAAAAAATCAATATGCTAATGGTCAATTAAATATACCACCAATTGAGTAAGTGCTAAGTATAATGGCTTTAAGTCAGGTGGATTTATCAGGTAAGAGTCCCTAAAGGATGTGACTTTAAGTAGTATTTGGAAGATTGAAAATTAAAAAAAGGATCAGGGTGGATGTGGTGGCTCATGCCTGCAATCCCAGCACTTTGGGAGGCCAAGGCAGGAGGATTGCTTGAGCCCAAGAGTTCAAGACCAGCCTGGGCAGCATAGAGAGACCTTATTTCAAAATAAATAAATTTTTTTTTCTTTTTTTAATGACAGTGTCTCAATATTTTGCCCAAGCTGTAGTGCAGTGGCTATTCACAGGCGCGATCCCACTACTGATCAGCATGGAAGTTTTGACCTGCTCCATTTCCAATTCACCCCTCCTTAGGCAACCGGGTGGTCCCCCCCGCCCCCGCTCCTGGGAGGTCACCGTATTGATGACAAACTTAGTGCAGGCACCTGATCGGCAGAACGTACTACAGCCCAGAACTCCTGGGCTTAAGCGATCCTCTCACCTCAGCCTTCCAATTAGCTGGGACTACAAGCACGAGCAAGCCACCAAACCCAGCAATAAAGTAAATTTTAAAAAAGAAAAAGGGTAAAGACTAGAAAGTTACATGTGGAATTTGAGGTACAAATTTGACTGACTGGAAGAAAAGTTTTTTGCCATAGTAAAGCGGGGCAAAACGAATGATGAGATGAAGAGGCAATAAAAAATTAACAATGGTGTATCAACAGGAATAATTAAGTCTGTCATCCCAGTGTAAATCTTGTAAGAGTTAATAATTAAGTCTGTCATCCCAGCGTAAATCTTGTAAGAGTTATCTATCAGCATCCACTTTGGCCAGATATCTATTCCCTTCTTTTTGTTATGCTCTTTATTTTAAGCCTGTTCAGTTTATTCTTTGCTTTTCATATATTCAGCCTCTGGTCTTGACTGAATTTAATTCACATTGTTCTTTCCAGGTCTATTTATAGAAATGCTAATTTCATGAGTTTCCTTTTCTTTCTTTTTGTTAAGTGCTAAGAATCTGTTGGCCTCTCAATCACTCCAGAATAGAGTGAAATTGTTAAAATTAGGCAATGTGTACAAAATCTGTGACTGCTAAGAAAGCCCACATTATAACTTGGACCTGTTTCTTCTGAAACTCTTCGGTCTCCAGGATGTTGCCTAGGCTCATTAAATTACACCTTCCTCTTCAATGTTTTTTAACAGTGGTAAAGGAAACAGAACAGCTAGACGATTTCTTTTTTTTTTCTTTGAGGCGAAGTTTGCTCTTGTTGCCCAAGCTGGAGTGCAATGGTGCGATCTCGGCTCACTGCAACCTCTGCCTGCCGGGTTCAAGCAATTCTCCTGCCTCAGCCTCTCAAGTAGCTGGAATTACAGGCTCACACCACCACACCCGGCTAATTTTTTGTATTTTTAGTAGGAATGGGGTTTCACCATGTTAGTCAAGAGCAGGCGTCCCCAAACTGCGGCCCCCTGAGGCTATTTATCCGGCCCCCTGCCGCACTTCAGGAAGGGCACCTCTTTCATTGGTGGTTAGTGAGAGGAGCACAGTATGTGGCGGCCCTCCAACGGTCTGAGGGACAGTGAACTGGCCCCCTGTGTAAAAAGTTTGGGGACGCCTGGTCAAGAGTCTCAAACTCTTGACCTCAGGTGATCCACCCACCTCGGTCTCCCAAAGAGCTGGGATCACAGGTGTGAGTCACTGTGCCCAGCCTAGACGATTTCTTATTAACCAAGGCATATTAGAGAAAAGGAAACAAGGAGTTTATTAGTCTAGAAATGCACTCTTATTATATTGATTTTAATTTCTAGCTAATTACAGAAGCCTATAACCCAAGTACACTCTAGAGAGAGTTAGACCTTTAGAAAATACTCTAAAAAACATTATAGAAAATCACAAGTATATAATACCTTACAATTATCACCTATATAGCCACAGGAGACTCTCAATTTGGAAAACTAAAAGAAAAAGAAAACCACATATTCAGATGAGACAAAGAAAATAAAACTCTAGTAAGGGATATGAGGTAGAAAGGGAGTGAAGAAAAACCAATAAAGTCTGTTAGCCTTTAAGAAAAAGGTTGGTAAAAGCATATATTGGAAATAATCAAGAGGCCTTCCTTCTAAGCTTACCCAGTCCGTGGTGAATGGGGCGCCATTTGCCATCAATGTTCTCACTTCATCATCTTGGCCTTTTCTTGCTGCTTCTAGCAACCTCTTTCCCAAGTCCACCAAAGACATCTTTATGCATAGGAATAAAAGTTTTCAGGTAGCTATAACTCAAACTTAAGGAAAGCTGCCAATACATTTTTTGCAGACCTTTTATATTTGAACGTATATATAAGATACATCTCAAGTTGACTGTCTGGTAGGTCACTTCCTTTCTACCTCATCTAACACACACACAAAAAAATATCTGGGAATGTTTCAAGCCCTAATATATAGTTCTATCACTCTCAATCCCCAGAAAAATACTCTGGAAATATCTGCAACATACTACCACCATTTTGTTCCCTTGAAATGAAGAAGGGTACAGTATTATTTTAAGGAACATAATACAAAATAATAGAACATGCACTCTGATTTCCAGGTAGGGAGTAAGATGGATGTCCACCTGTGAAACTACTGTTTGACAGAAATTATGAGAGCCCTTTTTAGCAACTAACTGCTCTCTACGGAGGTTTGTAGGTCTTTGGATGCCACAATGAAACAGGACACATCAAGGTTTCCAAATCAAACTGCATCTCTTTTTTTATTTTATTTTATTTTTTTTTTTTTTTGAGACTCAGTCTCGCTCTATTGCCTAGGCTGGAGTGCAGTGGTGCGATCTTGGCTCACTGCAGCCTCGGCCTCCCGGGTTCAAGCAAGTCTCCTGCCTCAGCCTCCTGAGTAGCTGGGGTTATTGACATCCACCAGTATGCCTGGCTAATTTTTGTATTTTTAGTAGAGATGGGTTTTCACCACATTCACATTGGCCAGCTGGTCTGGAACTCCTGATGTGAAGTGATCCACATCCCTTGGCCTCCCAAAGTGCTGGAATTATAGGCGTGAGCCACCACACCCAGCCCAAACTGCATCTTTTTTTTTTGAGACGGAGTTTCGCTCTTGTTACCCAGGCTGGAGTGCAATGGCGCGATCTTGGCTCACCGCAACCTCCGCCTCCTGGGTTCAGGCAATTCTCCTGCCTCAACCTCCTGAGTAGCTGGGATTACAGGCACGTGCCACCATACCCAGCTAATTTTTTGTCTTTTTAGTAGAGACGAGGTTTCGCCATGTTGACCAGGATGGTCTCGATCTCTTGACCTCGTGATCCACCCGCCTCGGCCTCCCAAAGTGCTGGGATTACAGGCTTGAGCCACCACGCCCAGTCCCAAACTGCATCTTAATCCTGTTTTTATCTTCTGACTATGGTGTAATGATATAATCATGCTTAAAATTTAAGGAGACCAAGCGGGGTGCAGTGGCTTGGGACTGTAATCCTAGTACTTTGGGAAGTCAAGGTAGAAGGATCACTAGAGCTCACAAGCTTGAGACCAGACTGGGCAATATGGTGAAACTGTCTCACAAAAAATACAAAAATTAGCCAGGCACAGTGGCTCATGCCTGTAATCTCAGCCCTTTGGGAAGCTGAAACAGGCGGACCACCTGAGGTCAGTAGTTTGAGACCAGCCTGGCCAACATAGTGAAACCCCATTTCCATTAAAAACACAAAACTTAGCCAGGCATAGTAGCACACGCATGTAGTCCCAGCTACTTGGGAGGCTGAGGTAGGACAGTCATTTGTACGTGGGAGGTGGAGGGTGGAGGTTGCAGACAGCCGAGATCACACCACTGCTCTCCAGACTGGGCGACAAAGCGAGACTCCATCTTAAAAAAAAAAAAAAAAAAATTAGCTGGACATTGTGGTGCATGCCTATAGTCTCAGCTATTCAAGAGGCTAAGGCAGGAGGATAACTTGCGCCCAGGAGGTGGAGGCTGCAGTGAGCTGAGATTGTACCACTGCGGTCTACTCTGGGCGATAGAGCCAGACCTTGTCTCAAAAAAATAAAATAAAATAAAGAAAAGAAAAAAAATTAAGAAGAACAAGCCTTTACTGATCAAACACTGATATGCTTAGGCCAGTAGTTCAAAATGTATGATTTATGGACCCTTGATGGTCCCTGATGCCCTTTCAGAGTCTATGAGGCCTGGCTAATTTTGTATTTTTAGTAGAGATGGGGTTTTATCATGTTGGTCAGGCGGTCCAGGCAGTTCTCCAACTCCCGACCTCAGGTGATCTTCCTGCCTCAGCCTCCCAAAGTGCTGGGATTACAGGCATGAGCTACTGTGCTCAGTCAACTGACAGTATTTACTGCCAATTATCAATTACAATTTAAGCCTTCAAGCAAGAATTGGAATCTTGGAAAACCTATAATCACCACTATCAACTTGATAACTTACCATTAATTAAAGACTTTTCTGGGGCTGGGTACAATGGCTCATGCCTGCAATCCTAGCACTATGGTAGGCCGAGGTGGGTGGATCACAAGGTCAAGAGATCGAGACTGTCCTGGCCAACATGGTGAAATCCTGTTATCTACTAAAAATACAAAAATTAGGGCCTGGCACCGTGGCCCACCCCTATAATCCCAGCACTTTGGGAGGCCGAGGCGGGTGGATCATGAGGTCAAGAGATCAAGACCATCCTGGTCAACAAGGTGAAACCTCGTCTCTACTAAAAATACAAAAAGGTAGCTGGGCATGGTGGCGTGTGCCTGTAATCCCAGCTACTCAAGAGGCCGAGGCAGGAGAATTGCCTGAACCCAGGAGGCGGAGGTTGCGGTGAGCTGAGACCGCACCATTGCACTCCAGCCTAGGTAACAAGAGCGAAACTCAGTCTAAAAAAATAAAAAATAAAAAAATAAAAAAGTAAAAAAAATTAGCTGGGTGTGGTGGCGCATGCCTGTAGTCCCAGCTACTGGAGAGGCTGAGGCAGGAGAATTGCTTGAACCCAGGAGGCAGAGGTTGCAGTGGGCAGAGATTGTGCCACTGTACTCCAGCCTGGTGACAGAGCAAGACTTTGTCTCGGAAAAAAAAAAAAAAAAAAAAAAGGCTTTTTTGATGAAATAAGTGGTAATATTAATGAATGTGATTTTTGGATATTGTATAATAAAATGCATCAGGCCGGGCGCGGTGGCTCAAGCCTGTAATCCCAGCACTTTGGGAGGCCAAGGTGGGTGGATCACGAGGTCGAGAGATCGAGACCAACCTGGTCAACATGGTGAAACCCCCGTCTCTACTAAAAATACAAAAAATTAGCTGGGCATGGTGGTGCGTACCTATAATCCCAGTTACTCAGGAGGCTGAGGCAGGAGAATTGCCTGAACCCAGGAGGCGGAGGTTGCGGTGAGCCGAGATCGCGCCATTGCACTCCAGCCTGGGTAACAAGAGCGAAACTCCGTCTCAAAAAAAAAAAAAAAAAAAATGCATCAATATTTAGATGATCTATACAATTTGGTGAACCAATACTTTCCAAATGACCATTGTTTGATGTTATGAAATCATGCACAAGTAAAACAATTCAAAGTGAAAGACCAATGGGTTTTAAGGTTACAGAATACAAAAATTCACTGATGTGGTTTCAAATTCCTCATCGTAACTTTTCTTTTGAGTCAGGGTCTTTCCCTGTTGCCCATACTGGAGTATGGTGCTACGATCATAGCTCACTGAAACCTCGAACTCCTGGGCTCAAGCAATCCTCCTTCCTCAGCTTCTGAAGTAGCAGGACTATAGGTACGCACAACCATGCCTAACTAATTTTTTGTTTTTTCCTAGAGATGCAGTTTTGTTATATTACCCAGGCTGGTCTCAAACTCCTGGCCTCAAGCAATCATCCTGCCTTCGTGCAACTAACTTATAAGAAATTACTACTTGTCAGCTGGTCGAGCTGGCTCATGCCTGTAATTCCAGCACTTTGGGAGGTCGAGGCAGGCAGATCATGAGGTCAGGAGTTCGAGACCAGCCTGGCCAACATGGTGAAACCCCATGTCTACAAAAATACCAAAAAAAAAAAAAAAAAATTAGCTGGGCGTAGTGGCGGGCACCTGTAGTCCCAGCTACTTGGGAGGTTGAGGCGAGGGAAAATTGCTTAAACCCGGGCAGTGGAGGTTGCAATGAGCTGAGACTGCGCCACTGCACTCCAGCTTGGCAAACGAGCAAGACTCCGTCTCAAGAAATAAAAAGAAAAAAATATATTTTATGTTAACATGTAATAGATTTATTACTAAGTTAAATGATGAACTTGTTTTTCATTTTCTCTTCTTTTTTTAGAGATGGGGTCTTGCTCTGTCACCCTGGCTGGAGAACAGTGGAATGATCATAGCTCACTGCAACCTCAAATTCCTGGGCTCAAGCGATCCTCCTGCCTTGGTGTCCCGAAGTACTGGGATTATAGGTATGAGTCACCATACCCACATAACAGTGTGATTTTTTTTTTTTTTTTGAGATGGAGTCTCACTCTTGTTGCCCAGGCTGGAGTGCAATGGCAAGATCTTGGCTCACCGCAACCTCTGTCTCCCTGGTTCAAGTGATTCTCCTGCCTCAGCCTCCTGAGTAGCTGGGTTTACAGGTACACACTACCATGCCTGGCTAATTTTTTAAATTTTTAGTAGAGACAGGATTTCACTATGGTGGCCAGGCTGGTCTCGAACTCCTGACTTCTTGATCCACTTGCCTCGCCCTCCCAAAGTGCTGGGATTACAGGTGTGAGCCACCATGCCTGGCCTAATTGCTTTATAAGTCTTATGTGAGACTCCTTTTACGGAACAGAGTGCTTTCAAAGAGAATTTAAAAAGCCTATGTGAAAAATAATTATTCTTGCTACACTTTGTACAAATAATCATGCCACGTATGATAAAGCAAATCTATTTTACCATGATTTGCCTTTAGTAAAAATGGGAGACTGGCCGGGTGCAGTGGCTCATGCCTGTAATCTCAGCACTTTGGGAGGCCAAGGTGGGTAGATTACCTGAGGTCAGGAGTTGGGAGACCAGCTTGGCCAACACAGTGAAACCCCGTCTCTACTAAAAATAAAAAATAAAAATAAAAATTAGCCGGACCTAGTGGCACATGCCTGTAATCTCAGATACTCCAGAGGCTGAGGCAGGAGAATTGCTTGAACCCGGGAGGCAGAAGTTGCAGTGAGCCAAGATTGTGCCACTGCACGTCACCCCGTGTGTCAGAGTGAGACCCTGTCTCAAAAAAAAAAAAAAAAAAAAAAAAGGGAGACTGGAGAGAGTAAAAAAATTGTTTCACAAACTATGGCACACCTGTTATTAGATTCTAGCCATCAGGGTTTTTTTTCCTGCAATTTAGACTAACCCTGCTTATTCCTGTGAACCAACCCGTGATCACTGGCTGTTGCTCAAAAGAAACAAAAGGATGCGTAATGTCAAAATCTGGATCAATATTCTAATTCTGGGCACATACTGGAATCAGCTAGTAACCCTAAATCAGCTTGGTTCCAACAATCGCCCAGTTCATGGGAAACCACCTTATTTAGTTTACTTGGAATAGTTTTGCTTAGTTTGGTTGACTGTTGTGGAGTATAATGCTGTTGTACTCTTTGTGTAGGAATACAAGATAAGCTTACCGAATGTTTTCTTAAACTAAACACTTTTTAATCTTCCAGATATCACCTTTAGTCAGAGTTATGAACAGCTCTCACCATACTGATGCTTTCCGACTGAGCACCACTGTACCCTGAATACAAGAGAACCTAAAAGTCAGGCAGGAATATCATCACCCTTATTCAGCCTGAAAAAGTTACAGAAGATGGATCTTTATCCCTTTACAACCCTTAGGATTAACGGTTCTCGCATAAAAGGGAGGGGAGACATGTCGGAGCTGTTTGAACCAGAGCAACTCCACCATGAATAGGAGCTGGAGGAAATAAGGCTGAGACCTACTGGGCTACATTCCAATTAACGCATTCTTTTTTTGTTTTGGTTTGTTTTTTTGAGACAAGGTCCTACGCTGTCGCCCATACTAGAGTACAGTAGCACAATCTCAGGTCACCACAACCTCTGCCTCTCAGGCTCAAGCAATTCTTCTGCCTTAGCCTCCCAAGTAGCTGGGATTATGCTCATGCCACTACTGTCTGGCTAATTTTTGTATTTTTTCTTTCTTTTTTTTTTTTTTTGAGACGGAGTTTCGCTCTTGTTACCCAGGCTGGAGTGCAGTGGCGCGATCTCGGCTCACGGCAACCTCCGCCTCCTGGGTTCAAGCAATTCTCCTGCCTCAGCCTCCCAAGTAGCTGGGACTACAGGCGCGCGCACCACCATGCCCAGCTAATTTTTGTATTTTTAGTAGAGACGGGGTTTCACCACGTTGACCGGGATGGTCTCGATCTCTTGACCTCATGATCCACCCGCCTCGGTCTCCCAAAGTGCTGGGATTAAAGGCGTGAGCCACTGCGCCCGGCCTTAATTTTTGTATTTTTAGTAGAGACATGGTTTCACCATGTTGGCCAGGCTGGTCTCAAACTCCTGATCTCAAGTGATACACCCACCTCGGCCTCCCAAAGTGTTGGGATTATAGGAGTGAGCCACCACATCCAGCCAGTTAAAGCATTCTTAGTCACAGGATGAGACAGGAGGTCAGCACAAGATAAAGGTCATAAAGACCTTGCTAATGAAACAGGCCACAGTAAAGAAAGATGTCTTAAAACCTAAGCAAGATGGTGACAAGAGTGACCTCTTGATTGTCCTCTCTGCTACACTCCCACCAGTGCCATGCTATGGAATTTACAAATGTTATGGCAATGTCGGAAGTTACCCTATATGGTCTAAAAAGAGGAGAAATGAATAATCCACCACTTATTTAGCATATAATCAAGAAATAATCATAAAAATGGACAACCAGGGCCAGGTGTGGTGGCTCAGACTGTAGTACCAGCATTTGGGAGGCCAAGGCGGGCGGATCACCTGGGATTGAGAATTTTGAGACCAGCCTGACCAACATGGAGAAACCCCGTCTCTACTAAAAATACAAAAAATTAGCTGGGTGTGGTGGCATATGCCTGTAATCCCAGCTACTCGGGAGGCTGAGAAGGGGAATGACTTGAACCCGGGAGGCAGAGGTTGCAGTGAGCCGAGATAGTGCCCAACCTGGGCAACAAGAGCAAAACTCCATCTAAAAAAAAAAAAAAAAAGGGGGGGGGGCAACAAGAGTGAGTAGCCATTCTTTATTCCTTTCCTTTCCTTTTTTTTTTTTTTTTTTTGGAGATGGAGTCTCACTCTGTCCACAGGCTGAAGTACAGTGGCGCAGTCTCAGCTCACTGCAATCTCTGCCTCCTGGGTTCAAGTGATTCTCCTGTCTCATCCTCCCAAGTACCTGGGACTACAGGCATGTGCCACCACACACACACAGAGCATTTTGAGGGGAAGAGTCAATGCTGGTGCTGGCAGGTGGTCAATACTTGTCTGGTGGTCAATACTTGTCTGGTGAAGGCATGCACCTTTACGCCTGATACACTAGAAAACAGTCTAGGCACTTCTGACTCCTTGATTACAAACAGCTAACAATATCCTCCCTACTGGCTATATCCCCACTTGACCTACACATAAACTGAGGAAACAAAATTTGTCTCACTTGCCTTCTAGGGTTTTAGAGATGAATAAAATAAATTCCAGTGCTTTGGGAGGCCAAAGCACGAGGGTCGCTTGAAGCCAGGAATTCAAGCCCAGCCTGGGCAACACAGAGTGACAGTCTCTACAAAAATAAAAAAAAAATAGCAGGGTATAGTGGCCAACACCTGCAGTCCTAGTTATTCAGGAGCCTAAAGCAGGAGGATCACTTGAGCCCAGGAGTTCGAGGCTGCAATAAGCTATGGTCACTGCACTCCAGCCTGGGTGACTGAGCAAGACCCTGTCTCTAAAAATAAAAATTAAAAAAACAAAGAAAAAAAAGATTGAATAGAACCTAAATATATGTCGACAGGGGATTGAATACAGCGGTTTTTTTTTTTTTTTTTTTTCCGAGATGGAGTTTCACTCATGTTGCCCAAGCTGGAGTGCAATGGCTCGATCTGGGCTCACTGCAACCTCGTTCAAGCGATTCTCCTGCCTTAGCCTCCGGAGTAGCTGGGATTACAGGCATGTGCCGTCACGCCTGGCTAGTTTTTCGTATTTTTAGTAGAAACAGGGTTTCACCATGTTAGCCAGGCTGGTCTCGAACTCGTGACCTCATGTGATTCACCCACCTAAGGCTCCCAAAATGCTGGGATTACATGCATGATCCACTATGCCCGGCCTGTTTGTTTGTTTTTAAAGAGACAGGGCCTCACTCTGTGGTCCAGGCTGGAACGCAGTGGCGCAATCACAGCTCACTGCAGCCTGAACCTCTTGGGTTCAAGCGAGCCTTCCCCTTCAGCTTTCTGAGTAGCTGGGTCCACTGGTGGGCACGACCGCAACCAATTAAAACTTTTTTTTTTTTTTTTCTGTAGAGACGGGGGTCTCCCTATTTTGCCCAGGCTGATCTAGAACTCCTGCGCTCAAGGGCTCCTGCTGCCTCAGCTTTCCAATATGTTGGGATTACAGGCGTGAGCCACGGTGCCTGGCCAAAACCTTTCAATAAATGTGTGTTTTAATAATTCATGAAGTGCTTGTGCTCTTGATCACAAAGTACTCTATTATCCAAGAAAAATTACTTTTGTTTTCTTAAGAATTTGGATGGAGCAATTTAATCCTTATTGTCATCAAAGCACGTGTGAAAACAGACGCCTAAGAACATGTCTCCTGGATGGAGTGGACCAAGTGATTAGATGAAAATACGGTCCTGGATGGCCAAAACTGTGTTACATTGTTGACAGCGAGCCACAGACTGTCCTTGTCCTCAGACACTGATGTGGGGGGGCCTCCTAAAGAGAAACCCCTTTTGGGAAAAGGGAGAGGAATGGGATGACCTCTGGCTCACGGAAGTATACGAGAATAGGAGGCAGCCAACAGCAAGAATTGCAATGGAAGAATCCATGGTTCTTTTTGTATTGCTCAAGTCCCCACTGGGCAGCCAGCGGTACAAACAACTGTGAAAGCAGCAGCGGCGAGGCCGGGAGCGGTGCCCGTGATCCCAGCACTTCGGAAGGTCAAGGCAGGTGGATCACCTAAGGTGAGGAGTTCCAGACCAGCTTGGCCAACATGGTGAAACCCGTCTCTACTAAAAAAAATACAAAAATTGGCCGGGCGCGGTGGCTCAAACCTGTAATCCCAGCTCTTTGGGAGGCCGAGGGGGGCGGATCATGAGGTCAGGAGATCGAGACCATCCTGGCTTACCTGGTGAAACCCTGTCTCTACTAAAAATAAAAATAAATCAGCCGGGCACGCGCCTGTGGCCCCAGCGCCTCGGGAGGCTGAGGCAGGAGAATCGCTTAAACCCGGGAGGCGGAGGTTGCAATAAGCCGAGTTCGCGCCAATGCACTCCAGCCTGGGTGACAGAGCGAGACTGTCTTTAAAAAAAAAAAAAAAGGGTAATGGCCGGGCGCTGTGGCTCAAGCCTGTAATCCCAGCACTTTGGGAGGCCGAGGCGGGTGGATCATAAGGTCAAGAGATCGAGACCATGCTGGTCAACACGGTGAAACCCCGTCTCTACTAAAAATACAAAAAATTAGCTGGGCGTGGTGGCGCGTGCCTGTAATCCCAGCTACTCAGGAGGCTGAGGCAGGAGAATTGCCTGAACCCAGGAGGCGGAGGTTGCGGTGAGCCGAGATCGCGCCATTGCACTCCAACCTGGGTAACAAGAGCGAAACTCCGTCTCAAAAAAAAAAAAAAAAAAAAGAAAGAAAGAAAGAAAAGAAAAAAAGAAAAAAGAGCAGAGGCGGGGCCCGTACTGTTCTCATTCAGATTACCGAGTTCACTAACAATCTTTCAGGTTATTATCAGGGCCAGAGAATGAGAGTCGCCGTTTCCCCCTCGATCGCACACCCTCCAATTCCTCACACTCACGTCTGTCCGAGAGACGGAAACCAGTCTGGGGCAGGCAGCGGGCCCCAGCCTCGGGGACAGGCCTCGGCCCGGCCCCGCGCCGCCCCCTAGTGGCCGCCTCCGCGGCCGGGGCTGTCCCCGGTCCGGCTCCACAGCCGCAGGTCTCACACCCAGCCCCGGCTTCACCTCCTTCCAGTCCCCTCCCCTTCCTGCCGACAACCTCCCCTTCCTCTCCGTCCCCATCCCCCAGCTGTGCCCGCTTCGGTGACGGGGCGCCGCTCGGCCCGCACCCAGAAGTCGGAGGCTGCCCGGGAGGCAGCGGGACTTCTCACGGCACCTTCCTTCCCAGCCCTGACGCCCCCCGGAGTCCACACATCGCCTCTTCCCCCCTCACCTCCTTGTCCGGGACGCTGCCGGCCGCACTTCCACGGAGCCCGCCAGTTTAGTCCCGTGTCCTTCTCTGGTTACGGCTCCCAGTCAAGGACGGTTACTTTTTGCTCTTTTCTTGTATTCATGTTTTGGGGGCCTTTAACCCCCCCCCTCGTGGAGAAACGGAGGCAACAAAATGGCGGACCCGGAAGTGAAGACGCCGCGAGTCAGCGTGCTGGCGGAGGAATCTGTGAAGGGAAAATGATCAGAAAACCCGTACGCCCATTCGGACAGAAAGATGATGCAGCCCCGAGGCTCGTCGCCTGTCTGCCGAGGGACTTCTGCGGTGGAAAAGAGCGTCCCCGAGGCATGCTCGGCAGGACTACTTGACGGGGCGGAGGACTGCTGGTTACGTGCCTTGCGCGTCTGAATAGTTCCAGCCGGGGACGGAGCGCGGCGCTGGTGTCGGCGCCCAGAAGCTGACGGACCGCAGCGGGAGCCTCAGATTGTGCCTGAGTCCTGCGGTCGGCGTCTTACGTCCTGGCTGCTTCTCCGGGGGTCCCGGGCGGCCAGGCTTAGGTTGGCGGGAGAGCCTCGCTTCCTTATCCTAACCTCGGGTGTAGCTGTTTGGGACGTTCCTGGCTTTGCTGGTAAATTCGGTTCTGTGCCTGATGGACACATTGTTCCAGTGACAGCCCGCATGTAAGGCCCCCAGAGCCAAGCTGTCAGTGCGAACAGTGAAGCGAATAACTGGGTCATTTCCTTTTTTTTTTTTTTTTTTGAGACAGAGTCTCGTTTCGTATCCCAGGTTGGAGTGCAGTGGCTCGGCTCACTGCCATCTCCACCTCCCGTGTCCAGCCTCAGCCTCCCCGGCAGCTGGGATCACAGGCGTCCGCCACCACCACGCTGGGCTATTTTTTGCATTTTTGGTAGAGACGAGGTTTCACCATGTTGGCCAGGCTGGTCTCGAACTCCTGACCTCAAGTCATCTGCCCGCCTCGGCCTCCTGAAGTGCTAGGATTACCGGCGTGAGACACTGCGCCCGCACTGAGTCATTTCTTTTTGGAGGGCTGCAAGAGGATGGAGCAGGAGTTTGCAAATCCATTTAGTCATTTTATTAACCAAACAGTTGATACCTGTTTCCACCCACCAATTGCCATGACCGAAGGACTCTGAAGGAGCCCTTCAGAACTCAGTGAATAGAAAAGGACCCACTAGTTAACCTTCCTGGCCCCATTTGTCTTTTTTTTTTCTGAGACGAAGTCTTGCTTTGTCGCCAGGCTGGAGTGCAGTGGCATGATCTCGGCTCCTTGCAACTCTACCTCCTGGGTTCAAGCAATTCTCCTACCTCAGCCTCCCAAGTAGCTGGGACTACAGGCGCGTGCCACCACACCCGGCTAATTTTTGTATTTTTGTTAGAGAAGGGGTTTCACTATGTTGGCCAGGATGGTCTCTATTTCTTGACCTTGTGATCCTCTTGGCCTCCCAAAGTGCTGAGATCACAGGTGTGAGCCACCGCACCCGGCCGGATTTATCTTTTTCTCTCCCTTTTGGGGACTTTAGATAGTGTCATCGTTATTTACGGTACTCTGCCCGATGCTATCCTATCCATATTGGTATTTAGTTTCTCTTTTGAGAGTTGGAGTCTGGTCTGATTCCCGTGTACATTCAGTTTGGCTCAGTGCCTTTCATAGAGTAGACACACAAAACCTAACAGTTAAGCAGATAACGTGAATTAGTTTATCTTCTTGGGCGCCTAGGAGAATTATTACCGGAAATATGTTGGTAGTCAGTGGTCAGGCAGAAGAGTGGTTGTAGCTGTCTCCCTAACAACTTTTCTAATTTTAAGTTGATTTTGCCCTTTCATTATTTATCTGTTCAATTCGAAGTTCACCATTTAATGTCTAAATGCTATTCAAATTATTCTTCCTGTAAGTTGGATATTATTAGGGAAAGATAAGATGAGGCCAGGTGTGGTGGCTCATGCCTGTAATCGTAGCACTTTGGGAGGCCAAGGTGGGCAGATCACCTGAGGTCAGGAGTTCCAGACCAGCCTGGCTAACATGGAAAAACCCTGTGTCTATGAGAAATAGAAAAATTAGCCAGGCATGGTGGCGGGCAGCTGTAATCCCAGCTACTTGGGAGGCTGAGGTGGGAGGATCCCTTGACCCTGGTGGGTGGAGGTTGCAGCGAACCATGATCACACCACTGCATTCCAGCCTGGGTGACACAGCAGGACCCTGTCTCAAAATAAATAAAATAAAATGTATAAGCTGAATGTGAAAGCAAGGCTAATTTCTCAGATTTCTATGACTTCCCTTGTGAAGAGAGAAAAAAACTAGACTCCAGTCCTGGAATTGAATGTCTTTATTAAATAAATGAGTAAATGGCAGCACAAATCGGCAACAATAATTTTGGAAGGATTGAGGACAAGATGTAGAGTCAGAATGTAATTGTTCATTTCAGGGTCTCAGTGCAGCTGAAGAACTTTGCCCACTGATCAGTATTACATATTGCAAATGAAGGAGGTAAGGCTAAAATATGAAGGACTTACAAAGTTCGGAAGATTGAATTGAAACCTTAAAAACTATCATAATAGCAAGAATGCATATTAAGATTTGATATCTTTCTTTAGCTAGAGTTTTCAATCCACAGGAGCAAAGTTGTAAAGTGAGTAGGCCTGAAGGGACAGTCTTTTGAGAAATTAGCTACTTCTAAAATGATTCAATTATTTTCCCTATTTTCATTTTCCATAACGTATTATTTCCTCTTGTTTTATACTTCTAACTACCCCCTTGATTTCTCTGAGGAAAAATATTACAAGAAAGCAGGATCAAAAAAGCAAGAGACTTATCACCTTAGCCTTTTAGAAATACTATTTCATAGCAGATAATCTCTAATTAAAACTTCCGAGGTTTTCATCACTCCTTGAAGAAATATTTGTGTTTACTGGCCTGGAGCAGGAAATTAGGAAGGTTTAAGCAATCTCTGAAGCCAATTAAAATGGAGTAAAAAATCAGTCTTCCATTTTGCACTACTATACTACTCTCAGGTATCCACAATCAGGCCTAGTTTCTGGAGTTAATATTTGGGGGGAAAAGGAGGAATCCCTGTGACCCAGTACCCCATTGCTTGAACCATTTACTTTATGACTTGAGGGCTTTTGAGAGAAATGGAGTAGATAGATAAACAAATACATACATACAACTCAACTCTGGCAGATTCATCAGCACCACCAACACAATAGAGAACAAGATTAAAATGGGAAAGGAGTGCAAAGGAAGAGGCTTGAGAGGAAGGACAATGAGGGCAAGGTGGCGGGAGAGAGACGTCTTGGCCTTAGAGCAAGTCCGATTCGAAGGAGTGGATGCTGGCAATGGGAGCTCTCCAGAAGTTGAAGGTGCTGTACTCAAGGAGGGCATCACCTTCAGGGTTTTTCTCCTGCTTTGCTCCCGTTGCTTGCCCGATCATTTTGTCAGCGCTGCTGTCCTTGATCTTGTACGTGGATATATCTGACAGACCGAGGCCTTCCAGCTCCGACAGATCCAGTTCTGGGATGGGCATCCTCCAGAAAAGAAAGGAGCTATACTGGCTGCTCACAGGGTCCCTCATAGCTTCCTAGAAAGAAACCACTTGTCAGTCTTCATGCTCCAGCAACTTATTTGTGGCCTATGGCCCTTCCTTGCTTAGATACTCCACATACTGGTAAAAAGGAATTTCTTTTTTTCTATCGAAGCACATTATACCTTCTCTAAGCCTACCAGTGAAAAGGCATTTGGGGAGGGAAAAAAAAAAGAAACTCAACATCCCCAGTCGCCTCTGGAGATAATCCAAGTTCCCTTGGACAAGCTTCAGAAACCCTTCCTTTATTATGAGTTTCTACTATTTCCTAAATTTCTTCCCATCTTGGAATGACTTATTTACTGTCTATTGCATCAAATCCATACTGGGTCTGATTTTCAAGGCCTTCCAAAATCTAGCCCATTCTTCCTAGCAGTGTATAGCCTCTGTTACAGTTACACTCATTCCTGTCTTGCTTCACTCCCCATTCTCCACCTTAAAATAGTTTCCACCTTTCAGCCAGGTGTAATGGCTCATGCCTGTGATCCCAGCACTTTGGGAGGCCGAGTGGGTGGATCATGAGGCCATGAGTTCGAGACCAGCCTACCCAACATGGGCAAATCCTCCGTCTCCACTAAAAATACAAAAAATTAGCCAGGCGTGGTGGCTCATGCCTGTAGTGCCAGCTACTAGAGATGCTGAGGCATGAGAACTGCTGGAATCTAGCCGGGGGAGATTGCAGTCAGTCTTCCAGCCTGGGCAACAGAGCAAGACTGTCTCAAAAAAAAACAAAAAAACTTTCCACATTTCAGGACTCCATTCAAGGGCTCAGTGGCTCACGCCTGTATTCCCAGCACTTTGGGAAGCTAAGGCAGGAGGGTGGCTTCAGACCAGGAGTTCCAGACCTGCCTGGGCAACACAGCGAAACTTCATCTCTACAAAAAATTAGCTGGGCATAGCATGGTAGGGTGTGCCTACAGCCCTAGCTACTTGGGAGGCTGAGTGGGAGAATCACTTGAGCCTAGGAAGCAAAGGTTCCAGTGGGCTGAGATTGTACCGCTGCATTCCACCCTGGGCAACAGAGTGAGACCCTGTCTTAGAAAAAACAAACAAACTCTATTCAATTCTATAGAGGATCCCTGTTCCCCTAGCCCAAACTCTTTTTTTTTTTTTGAAACGGAGTTTCACTCCTATTGCCCAGGCTGGAGTGCAATGGTGCAGTCTTGGCTCACCACAACCTCCACCTCCTGGGTTCAAGCAATTCTGCTACCTCCAAGCAATTCTCCTGCCTCAGCCTCCGGAGTAGCTGAGATTGCAGGCGTGTGCCACCATGCCCGGCTAATTTTGTATTTTTAGTAGAGATGGAGGTTCCTCCATGTTGGTCAGGCTGGTCTCAAACTCCCAACCTCAGGTGATCTGCCTGCCTCAGCCTCCCAAAGTGCTGCGATTACAGGGATTAGCTACCACGCCCAGCCCCAAACTCCTATTATACTTACAAATATTTCACTTTCTCCTGACTTTGGTTTAATAGGTCATGGTATGTGTGAAAAGGCCTTCCATGACTTTTCTGCTATCTTTCTTCTTGCCTTCTAAACCCTACTGTAAACTCACCTATTCCAGGGTAACTTCCTTAAACTTACTCAGCTTCATCTACTGTATTTCCTCCAGCATCTCCCTCAACACCCTATAGAGCAGGTGTCCCCAATCTTTTTACACAGGGGGCCAGTTCACTGTCCCTCAGACCGTTGGAGGGCCGCCACATACTGTGCTCTTCTCACTGACCACCAATGAAAGAGGTGCCCCTTCCTGAAGTGCCGCGGGGGGCCAGATAAATGGCCTCAGGGGGCCGCATGCGGCCCGACGGCCGGGCAGTAGTTTGGGGATGCCTGCTGTAGAGTTTTACCTAACTCCATCAGTTTGTGATTACAGATCACTGTTAATGTATTTTATATACAGGATGGCCTTCTTGCCTTCAACAGACTAGAAGTTTCCACAAGGGTAAAAATCAATCTACTTTCTCTGTACACAGGTGCTGGGCTTTGTACACAAAGACATTCAAGGCTGCTGATTAACTTTATCTCACTATGAATACTTTGCCATTCCCATATATTAGCCCATAGGTAAGCCTTAATAATCTCCTTCTCTCGGCCAGGCACGGTCGCTTACGCCTGTAATCCCAGCATTTTGGGAGGCTAAGGTGAGTGGATTGCTTGAGGTCAGGAGTTCAAGATCAGCCTGGTCAACATAGTGAAACCCTGTCTCTACTAAAAATACCAGAAATTAGCTGGGCATGCTGGCATGTGCCTGTAATCCCAGCAGATCAGGAGGCTGAGGCTGAAGAATCACTTGAATCTGGGAGGCGAAGGTTGCAGTGAGCCAAGATTGTGCCATTGCACTCCAGCCTGGGCAACAAGACTGAGACTCTGTCTCAAAATAATAATAATAATAATAATAAATTTCTCTCTAGCCTACCTCTCCTTCAGAACAAAACTCAGGTGCTAAAAGAATGTTCCTATGCTGTAACAGGGTCTCTTTTCTCTGATCTCAATGCTCAAGTATTCTGATGATATGCAAATGAATTGGAAATTCCAGGTAAGGAAGTAAAGTTCAGATTGGAAGAAGGTCCCTTAAGGGAATCAGATACTCTTCCATGCGTTAAAGGATCTGTCACTTTCTCTACTACTACCCACACCCTGCCGGATATTATATGTCTATTACAGCTGCCTGCAGCCTCCACCCTGCTGCTTACTAGCCAAGGGTCAAGAAGCATTAGTTGAAATGTTCCCAAAGGAGCAGAAAGAACATTCTACCTCCAAAAACAGAACCCCAGGCCAAGTGTGGTGGCTCACGCCTGTAATCCCAGCACTTGAGGAGGCTGAGGTGGGTGGATCACAAGGTCAGGAAATCGAGACCATCCTAGCTAACACAGTAAAACCCCAATTCTACTAAAAATACAAAAAGTTAGCTGGGAGTGGTGGCAGGTGCCTGCAGTCCCAGCTACTCAGGAGGCTGAGGCAGGAGAATTGCTTGAACCAAGGAGGCAGAGGTTGTAGTGAGCTGACATCACCCCACTGCACTCCAGCCTGGGCAACAGAACGAGGCTCCACCTCAAAAAACAAAACAAAACAAAAAACAGAACCTCAGGTTTCAAAAGGCCTTTCTCCAACACACTCTATTGAGTCTCACCAGGCCTGAGACCCCTAAATAATGGCCTTAAATAGGTACCAAAATGCTCCAATATAATGTGAAATGACTGTACTAAGGCAGAAAAAGAAAGTGTTAATCTAGAACGCAGCGAAGTGTGAGAGTGTGGGGGCTTCAGGAATGGAGAGTGGGTAGGCTAGGATGTTTTTAATGTTAAAAGTGAATTCTGAGTTGTTCTTTTTCTTCTTGAGTTCCAAAATAAACCCTGGGAACTGAGCATTACTCAGCAGAGAAGCTGCTTAGAAGGAGGGTGATGCAGGGATTGGAGCAGGGTGGGGGAGCATGTTGGAAAGGTGAGGTCATCCTCCTATGATACTCAACTCTGATCATCTCCATAGTACTTTGCAGAGACGTGCACAGAAAGAGAGCTACAAAAAAATGATTGTATCCATTAACCAACCACCCCCTGCTTAAATCTGGGACTACAGAGATCCTAAGAAGCATACCCTAGGAGTCAGTACTGTTACCTACAGGAATTCTTACTGTTACCAGTTATTTCCCCAGCTCCCTGGCTTCTGTTTTATCTCCTCCCTGACAAGTCTTCTCCAGAATGAGCTTAGTATAATGCAGGGCACATTATAGGCTCTTTAAAAAAGAATCATGGGGGGGGGGGGGAACTGTAGAATTTTAATACTATAAGACATCTTAGAAATTAATAACTTGGGAAAACTTCCAGCCAGTTTGTAGAATCCAGGTCTCATAATTCCCAATTGGATCCTTTTTTGTGTTGTACATGGACAGTTGCCAACAGCTTTATATAACCCTATACCAGTATTCTCAAAACTTAAAAGAATTCTTAGTTACTGAAGAATAGCTATTCCGTGGGTTAGGTGATTGTTCCTGTCATTGTGATCCGAATGGGGAAAAGCAAAAGGCAGTAGAGAGCAAGCTAGAATCTGAGAAAAAAGCTGCTCAAATAGTCCCTAAGTGTTTGGTAGAGCTATCTTGCAATTTAAAAAGCTAAAGGAAATTTTATGAAATATTAAAAGGCCTAAAATCTCTATGTCATTGACCCAGAGGCATGTACACAGGGTACCAAATACATTCTTGAAAGACACGCATGCAAGCCTACGTGGCATTAAAATCAAGTCAAGAGTATAAAGTAAGACTACACAGAAAAATTGAAGTTAAAATACTATTCACTAATGTAAATAGTAATGAAATTTTTGATTTAATATAGTATGAATTTAATTATCAAATACTCCAAATTTTGGAAAAGGTCCCTTTTTGGCTAGCTTCCCCTTCCCCTCCACAAATGCTCTCCACCCCTACTTCAACTATCTTTACATCTATCTGGTAAAGGGTTTGACAGGGCCTTCTACCACAATATATGCTCAATAATGTTTCCCACTATCCTTCATTTAAAAGTATTCAGGTATTTCGGGCAAAGGCAATTTCTAAATATCACTCTATTCTTAGAGATACATGATTAGCAAATATATAGATTAGAAAGATACAGTCTCTTGGAGCCACACAGACACACCCAAATATCCTTGGTCCAGACCCTTTGTGGCTATCCAGGGCCTACTACTCAACAGGGCCTTGCTGTGTCATGCTGCCACCATGGGGAAGGGGGAAGGACAAGGTGGGGGTGGGGGTGGCAGAGGGGAGCAGAAGCTCTCTGGCATCTCATAATGTGTGCCTCACTCAGAGCTTGGATTTTCCTGTCAGCATTCCCCCACCTAGTCCACTGAGCTGCAAATAATCATTCTTTTCCAGAATCTGTCCCCACACCTCGCTCCTGTGAACGATACAGATTTCACTGTGGAATCAGGCAGTTCTCCAACACAGAGGCTCCCACCTTTCCTACCCCAGGCTGCCTCTTTCTTTGGAGCAAAGGTTTGAGGTGAAGAGAAAGAGATTGTCCAAAGACAGGTCAGAATTACACTCAACATTATCCCATATAATTCCCTCCCAAACTCCCTCTTACATAGACACATAGAACACGATAGAAAAAAATTGCAAATATAGGGAAGTAGAGGCCAGAGAGATAGAGTAGGACTAAAGATTCATTAAATAGCTGGTAGAACAAATTATACCTTGCAAAGGAAGATAAGTAGACTGAAAATGTTAAATACACAGGACAATAAGTTATAGAAAAGGACACTTGAAATAAGGAGGTAGGTTCTGAGAAATAACTACATGTAGATGGTTAGAAATTAATGGTCTGTTCAAGGTAACAAGGCATGGATGCTGTGAAGAAATAACTATCCATTGTTCACAGCGCCCCCTTCTCTCCTCTTCAGCTGCCCCCCCCACCTTATGTGGGGTCTCCAATCTAACCATAAGCAGCTGCGCTTCTATCTTTGAAGCCCCCTGCCCCCCTCCCTCAGTTTGGTTTACCTGTAATCAATCAATTACTGGCGTGTTCCAAAGATGGAGGGAGTGCCTCGGGGGCTCGGGGGTCTGCGCCGGGCTGGAGAAATACAAAGCTGTTGGGGCTTGGAAGGCTTTGTCTTCTCACTCCCTTTCCCTCTTCAGTGACTGAGTCTGTCTGCTCACTCTCCCCCTGCAATGCAGCCCCTCCTAAGAAGGGCGGAAGGATTCCCCGCCCCCTCCTGCCTGACTCGGCTAATTCAAACGATAGGTTCCAGAACAGTTGAGGGAAGGAGAGAGAATTAAAGCATCTCCGTAGGCTCATTGGTCTGCACTATTATTCCCGATCTCTTCCAGCACCCCCGTGCTGACTGGGGGTGGAATGAATGAGCAGCTAATTGCTCTCTAATTTTAGGGCCTCTAATTTATGGATTTGAAATCTTAACTCTAGAAAACAACAAGGGAAAGGAGTGTTCCTTTCTTCCACAGTTTAAGGACTTCAGGTTACAAGGTTATTTTTAAGCATCAGAAAATTTTTCCACCCCTTCTCCCAATAGCTGCTCCTCCTGACTCGCCTCTCTACCCTCGCAATGGGTAAATAAACCTAGTCCTCTTCCATTTGGGGTAGAGCTCAAGAGATGGGGGGTGGGGGGTACGGGGGGTGGGGGGGTAGGGGAGGGTGGGCGTGCTTCTGCTTATCTCTGAACTTGGTTAGGTCTGGAGGTTTGGGGGGGCTCCCTTCGTTTTGCCCCGAAATGCCTGGCGCTAAAAGGGAACGTGCGATTCCAGGGGCCCCCGCTTGGGTGCCAGGCCCTCCTCGAGGTGTCCGTTCTCCGGCCCGCCCCGCAGGGGCGGCGGCCTTCGGGGGCCGCAGAGGCCCCCCTCCCACGCCCGCGCGGTGCAGTGCCTCGGCAGTCCAGGGGGGAGCAGTGCGCTCGGCTCCGAGCCGGACGGGTTTCGTAATCGCGTCGCCGCCGCTTCCGCCCTCAGCCGGCCCCACCTCTGCCGGCTCGTCCTCGGCTCCCCCACTGCGCCGCGGAGCCGGCCCGGGAAGCCCACACTGGCGGGCGCGGAGGCGAGCCCCTCACCCGCACCAGCTGCAGCTGGACGTCTGGATGCCGGAGAAGGGCAGGTGAGGCCGGGCGGTGGGTGCCCCCGGGCCGCCCGCCGCGCGGGCAGGGCCAGGCGGGGCCGGACCGGATGCCGGGGGTGGGGGAGGCGGGTGTCCGGGGCTGCGGAGATGCTGGGGCGGTGGGAACGGGGTGCGCGCCCGGGGCGGCCGTCCTCATCCACGCTCCCGGGGTGCGCTGGCTGAGGCCGCTGAAGAGTAGAAGGGAGAGAAGGAACTGGAATGTTGGGGGAGGCGGGAGGGAGAGGGTCGGAAAGATTTCCAGAGAGGTCCCAGTCCGGTCCAGGGTTGGGAAGGGCGGAGAACTTTTGCGTAGAGTTGGGTTGTGGCGGGGGGACAGATGCGGAGTCTGCGTGATTGAATCCGTTTGGGGAGGGGAGGCTTAGGGCCCAGGCCTGTTTCCTCTTCGTTAAGCCCCCAGAAGACCTTTGCTGGGGACGGGTAGAGTTGGTGCTGGGCCTGTCACTTGGCTGAAATATGGGGTCCACTCCGCGTCTCCAGAGCCCCTCAGCAGCCCTCCGTGTCTAGGGGTCCCACACAGGGACCAGCTGCCGCCCCGGGCTTCTAGCCAGAACGTCCCATTCCATTCCCTCGATTCTTTCTTTCTCCAGCTGCTTCATGTGAGGGCTTGTTAGGCCGCGGGTTGGAGGCCTTAGGGCCAGAGGCGGTGGGACCGGGAGAACCGGTTTGGGGCCAGAACAGGACCAGATAACCAGCTCTGTACATCCTTCCTCCCTGGCTCCTCTTTCCCATCCCTTCTGCTCACCTCCCGACAGCTTTGAGCCCCTCCAGTCCTAGTGTGACTTTGTGGGGGCGGGGGTGGGTGTCTTTCCCGGTTCCATGTTTCACGCTTCCCGTTGGAGAGGCCGAGTTCTGAGCGGCACTTGGCTCTCGGGACGGGGTCTGATGCTGTCTAACCCTCATCCCTCCTGTTTTCTCAGCCCCTTCCCATTCACTGTGGGTTGGATTCAGGTGGCTCTTCCGCCCGGGCTGGCCAGCTCAGGGCTTCATTTTCCCTCAACCCACTCTTGTCTGGCTGCTGTAAAGGAGAGTGGAAGCCAATGGCTTTACTTCCTTTTCTGGCTTTGTTTTTTTTTTTCATTCCCCCTGCCCTGCGCCACCATCACATTCACCCTGACCTGTCTTCTTCACACTCTGACCCCACCCGCAAGTTTCAGAGACCCTAACGTCCTAGGGAATGGAATTTCCTGGTCACTTCTCATCATTGGTCATTTCATGCCAAGTCCCCCACGCACGCTTTCCCTCCACCCAGCTCTGGTCAGGTCCCTGGAAAAGAAACAGAAATGGCCTTGTTCTCTCCACTGCGCCTTTCCCTCTCTCCTTCTGCTCCCCCCCCTTCTCCTCTTCCCTCCCAGCACTGTCCACCTCCGTCCCTCAGCTTTGAGCAGGGTGGGGGTGTTGAGGAAGGTCCAGTCTCAGCACCGCCTGTCTGCTGGTGTTGGGAATTTCCTTTAATTCTTCATTTTCCACCTGCCACCACCACCGGTCAGGACAAACCCTAGGGCTGACTGACGTCCCACTGACCACAGCTCCCCTCTCTGGACAGCTGTGTTTTAGCTTCCGCTCCTTCTATTTACTCCTCCCTTCCAGTGGTGGGAAGGGAAGTAAGAGAAAGCCCAGCCTCCTGGATTCTTCCCTCCCCCTGAAGCTGCACTTGAGTGTTTGCATGATCTCAAGACTGTTTAAAAAAACAAACAAACAAAAAAAAACACCTTTCCTTTTTGTGTGTGTGGGTTATTTTGTTTTGTAGTTGAGACAGGATCTTTCCCTGTCTCCCAGGCTGGACTGCTGTGGCGCAAACATGGCTCACTGTAGCCTCCCAACTCCTGGGCTCAGGCAATCCTCCTGCCTCAGCCTCCCCAGTAGCTGGGTGACAGGCACATGCTGCTGCACCCCACTATCTCTTGTTTTTAAATCAGTCTAAGGTGCCAGAGCGTCAAGGTTCCCAGCCTTCAAGAAAGGGAGATTCCTGTTTATGTTAAAGTGTCATATTTTTGAAACTGCCCTTTTTGGAATTTTTGAGGTTGTCTGTACTATAGGACTGGGGAAATGCAGTGAGTCTAAGAAGAAACCCAGATGAGCCCTACCCTGGCTGGTGGTAGTGGGAAGGGAGGAAGTTCCTGTGTCTGGTTGGCTGATGAAGCTTGAGGGTGGAATTGGTGAGGAGGGAGGAGAGAACAGGTCCCAGCTGGAAGGGAGCCTGGATCCTACAGGGTGTGAGGCAGAGCAGCGTGGCACATAGGACATGTGGAGGGTGGGGAAAATATTCCTCATGAGACAGAAGATACCCGGCACATGTACCTACAACCCCCCCTACAGGGGACACACGTGGAGATATGGCCATGCCACGTCTGTGCAAAGAGGTGTACACACAGGAGTGCAGTGATACAGGACACAGATAAACAGAGTGTACACAGCCTTCAGGAAGGACCTCAAGGTCAAGTAATAAAGAAACTGCTGACTAGCTTCTGGGAGGGGTTGGATTTTACTGGAGGGAAATCAGAAGGAACAGGGCAGCAAACAGAGAGGGAAGAAATTTCTCGTTGTTGAAAGTCTTTCCTGAGGTCCAGCCTGCCACAGCTAGTCTCCTAGGACCTCGGTGGTCCAGGCCTCTCCTATTCTCAAAGAAAATAGAGGTGTTCAGGGCAAGGTAAGAAAAAAGGGAGGGACAGGGTGGAGACCTTGTTTGTGAGAACAAAAAACCACTATTTCCTCTTCAGAGTCACTTAAGCGCCCCTCCCCTTCTGCCCTAAACCCAGAGAGAAGGGAGCTGGAGCCTGTAGCACCTCTGACTTTGCTAATTGCTGCCACTGTCCTTTGGTCCTTGCCCATCCTCTTAACTCTAAGTGCTTCTAGTCCCCTTCCGCTCCCTCGGTACCACCAGCCACTGCTCCTTAACCCCTTGGTGTCCTTTTGGTTCCGTTCCTTTTTCTTAGAGTCAAACTGAGGTTCTTACTGTTTGCGAACATGAGTGTCGGTGTATAGGCCTAGGGTCTCTCAGGGAGCACTGGGAAGAAACAGGCTCATAGGGAGGTTTCTCAAGGATTGGGGGAGGGAGAGATTTCTCACTGATCTTTCTTTTTACTTTCTTCTAATCCAGGGTTCCAAGTCTGAGGAAGACATAACCTTGTGCCTGCCTGCCCACCTCTCTCCCTGGTCCTGTTCATCTCTCCGGGTCTCAGACGCTGACCTTCACTGCTCAGTTAAGGCTTCCAGGCCACTTTCTCTGGACCTATCCAGCTGAGTGAACCCAGACTGTTGTTATACCTGGGGAGAGTGAGGAGTGGGCTGTCCAAACACCAGAGCCAGAGCCCTCCGGGGCCTCAGACAGAGGAGTGAAGCTGGAACCATCAGGGAACATGAGTGAATTTTGGCACAAACTGGGCTGCTGTGTGGTGGAGAAACCCCAGCCGGTGAGTCTCCCCACCCCCACCCTAACCCAGAGAGCAGTCAGTTACCACCATGTGCTGTGAGGTAGCCACACCATCTAGGCTCTGCCATCTAAAAAGCACACTTCTAAGCCGGACGCGGTGACTCACGCCTGTAATCCCAGCACTTTGGGAGGCCGAGGTGGGTGGATCACAAGGTCAAGAGATCGAGACCATCCTGGTCAACATGGTGAAACCCCATCTCTACTAAAAATACAAAAAAATCAGCTGGGCATGGTGGCGCGTGCCTGTAATCCCAGCTACTCAGGAGGCTGAGGCAGGAGAATTGCCTGAACCCAGGAGGCGGAGGTTGCGGTGAGCCGAGATCGCGCCATTGCACTCCAGCCTGGGTAACAAGAGCGAAACTCCGTCTCAAAAAAAAAAAAAAAGCAAACTTCTTACCTTCCTCTCTGTCGGGAGCTTCTGTGGTCAGGCAGCTGTGTATGTGGAACAAAGGGGACTGGGTGATGGAATAAGTGAATAGTCCTAGCTGTTCTCTCCTGTTCTGTCCATCCTGAGCTGGGCGGGGTGTGTGGGTGGAGCTGCATACCTGCCACTTTCCCCCATTGTTTCGTCATCAGTCAGAGGTGACTCTGACATGTCCTTTCTTCGTCCAGTGTTAACTCTGCAGGTCACTGCCCTCACCACCCTGCTCTGTGGCTTCTGTGCGCTCACATTGTTCCAGCTTTGCCTTTCAGGCCCTATGATCTCCCTGTTACAATGCCACATCCTCTCTTCCCACCAGGCCCTTAGCTTTTTAGTGGTTTTCTTTCTTTTCTTTTCTTTTTTTTTTTTTTTTTGAGACGGAGTTTCGTTCTTGTTACCCAGGCTGGAGTACAATGGCGCGATCTCAGCTCACCGCAACCTCCGCCTCCTGGGTTCAGGCAATTCTCCTGCCTCAGCCTCCGGAGTAGCTGGGATTACAGGCACGCGCCACCACGCCCAGCTAATTTTTTTATTTTTAATAGAGACGGGGTTTCACCATGTTGACCAGGATGGTCTCGATCTCTCGACCTTGTGATCCACCCGCCTCGGCCTCCCAAAGTGCTGGGATTACAGGCGTGAGCCACCGCGCCTGGCCAGCTTTTTAGTGGTTTTCAAGACTCTTTTTCCCTTCCTCCATGCTGACCGGAGGAGGGGCCTTCAGACATGACTCCTTATCTTCTCCAAGCAGAAGAAGAAGAGAAGACGGATTGACCGGACCATGATTGGGGAACCAATGAATTTTGTCCACCTGACTCACATTGGCTCTGGGGAGATGGGAGCCGGAGATGGACTTGCCATGGTAACAAGGGAATGGGGAGAGGTTGATACGGGGGTGAGGTCTATAACTGTTCCCTCTTTTTGAAAGTTCAAGCTAGGGACATATGAAAATACTCAATGGGGAAGTAAAAATCTGGGATTCTAGCCCTGGTCACCAGTTGTGGAAACTCGAGACCTGGCATTTTAGGTGTCTGGGCTTAAGTTCCCTCATCTTTACAGCTTAGCAAATTGTTCTTCACTGGGGTAGGGAACATATATATCTTAATAGTGGGAGGGCTTTTTCCAAAAACTGTTAATCCTCCCTTCTCCTAATTAACAACTGCTATCTTGGCCAGGATTGGTGGCTCCCGCCTGTAATCCAGCACTTTGGGAGGCCAAGGCAGGTGGATCATGAGACGAGATTGAGACCAGCCTGGCCAACATGGTGAAACCCTGTCTCTACTAAAAATACAAAAACTAGCTGGGTGTGGTGGTACACCCCTGTAGCCCCAGCTGCTTGGGAGGCTGAGGCAGGAGAATCACTTGAACCTGGGAAGCAGAGGTTGCAGTGAGCTGAGATCACCCCACTGCACTCCAGCCTGGCGACAGAGTGAGACTGTCTCAAAAAAAAAGAACTGCTATCGCACCTGGGCATGGTGGCTCACACCTGTAATCTCAGCACTTTGGGAAGCCAAGGTGGGCAGATCACAAGGTCAGGAGTTCAAGACTAGCCTGGCCAACATGGTGAAACCCCATCTCTACTAAAAATAGAAAAATTAGCTGGGCACCATGGCGGGTGCCTGTAGTCCCAGCTACTCAGGAAGCTGAGGCAGGAGAATCGCTTGAACCTGGGAGGTGGGGGTTGCAGTGAGCTGAGACCGCGTCATTGCACTCCAGTCTGAGCGACAAAGCAAGACTCCTTCTTAAAGAAAAAAAAAAAAACAAAAAAAAAACTGCTATCTCGGTACTACAGTAAATCGTATGTATATGTATGTGTGTGTGTGTGTATATATGTGTATATATATATATATATATGTGGTTAGGAGTGTTGGGACAGGAAAAAAGCTGAGTACCTTTGTCCTCAATAATGTCTAAGATGTACTTCTGTTCCCAAAATAAGGGAAATGGGTCTAGAGATACAGTCTCTTCCCTGATCCTGAAACTCATATATATAGGGGAGAATCCATTGTGAGGGAATGTTCTTAGTAAAAAGTCCATTTTACCTCATCCTCATGAAGGCTAGTATGAAAGGAGGCACTGAGATTCCCCTAGGAGGAATGGCGGTTAGTAGGCAGCTGCTGTTGTAAGGAGATGGCATCAACCTCTTCCCTGGAGGGCACAAAATAGAATTCTTACTGTGGGATATGAAGACTTAGGTGTCTCACATCTCTTTTTTCACAGACAGGTGCAGTTCAGGAGCAGATGAGATCCAAGGGAAACCGAGATAGGCCATGGAGCAATTCTAGGGGCTTATAGCTCCAATAATGGAATGGTGAGTGATTAGAGGAACCAACCCAACACCTCACCCCTATAGCAATACAACCTGATACCCTGACTCAGAACCCTGATCTTCTCATGCAAGAATGGGAGATGTGGCCGGGCACAGCGGCTCGTGCCTATAATCTCAGCATTTTGGGAGGCTGAGGTGGGTGGATCACTTGAGGCCAGGAGTTCAAGACCAGCCTGGCCAACGAGGCAAAACCCTATCTCTCCCCAAAAATACAAAAAGTAGCTGGGCACAGTGGTGTGCACCTGTAGTCCCAGCTATTTGGAAGGCTGAGGCATGAGAATCGCTTGAACCTGTGAGGCAGGGGTTACAGTGAGCTAAGATCACACCACTGCACTCCAGCGTGTGACAGAATGAGACTCTGTCTCAAAAAATAAATAAAAAATAAAAAAGGAATGGGAGGTAGGGAGGAATTAGAAGGGAAGATTCAAGAATGTAGGATCTAGGCCAGGTGCGGTGGCTCACACCTGTAATCCCAGCACTTTGGGAGGCCAAGGTGAGCAGATGACTTGAGGTCAGGAGTTTGGAGCCAGCCTGGCAAACATGGTGAAACCTTGTCTCTACTAAAAATGCAAAAATTATTCGGGCATGATGGCACATGCATGTAATCCCAGTTACTCTGGCGGCTGAGGCAGGAGAATCACTTGAAGCTGGGCGGGGGAGGTTACAGTGAGCCGAGATCGTTCCACTGCCCTCCATCCTGGGCGACAGAGCAAGACTCCGTCTCAAAAAAAAGAAAAAAAAAAAAGTAGGATATAGAAAGACTGAGAGGGTGTTGTACAGACAGAAGTGTGAGGAACACAGTGTCTGCACTTGGTGGTGCCTTCTTCCTAAAGCCTTGGTTTTCTTTAAGGCTAATCTTCTTTAAGAAAAACTTTTTCTTTTTTTTAAATTTCAGGTTCTGCCATCTTGAAACCCCCTTTCTGTGTCCAGCCCAGAAGAAATGCTGCCCCCACCAGGTCCCTCCTTGAACCAGTGATCTAAGGGCCCCTCTTTTCCCTATCTGCCTAACAGTGCCTCACAAGGCTTGGGGGCTGGACTCCCTCTACTCCCTCTGGCTATAGCCCCTCCTGGAGATGGGGTCAAGGCAGCAGGACTGACCAAGTGACTACTGGTTAGCCAGAGGAGCTCAGCTGAAGCCCCTGGACACCCTCAGATCTGAGATAGGAGTTCTCTAGGAACCTGGAATGAGTTCCTGTCTCCTGGATGATGGTCTGGGTGCTACCTGTTTTTAAACTCTTAACCTGGAATTCCTTAAATGGGGTAGGTGGGGGAGATTATCAGAGCTGAAGCTGGCTTTGCTGAGAAGCTCCCTACCTCCCTGCCCTTCTCTTTCCTCCTGGAATGAACTAAAGCAGATGTCAAGCAAGGGCTGGATGGGGTGCCTACTCCCTTTTTCACTCTGTATCTTTAGATTTCAAACCTTAAGCTCACAGCCCCTCAATCTCTCTTAATCAGTGTCTCGTTCTCTAATTAGGCCTTTAATTCTCTGTTTCTGTTGACTAGCTTCCCGGCAACTTTCCTTTTTAAAAATATTAAAACTTTAATTCAGGTTCTCTTAATTATCCCCATCCTGCTGTTGCCTCTGCCCTTAACTCTATCCTATTAGGAACCTTACTGTTTCCCACGGAGTAAGAGTTAAGGTAAGAGGGAGCTCTTCACCTGATGACATTCCATTTAAGTCTTGGGGCATCTGTCCTGCCCTCTGCCCACCTCCCTGCTGGCCCTGGTGAGAGGAGGAAAAGGGGTCTGGAGAGAAACCCACAAGGCGGCAGAACTAGGAGTTATATCTCAAGGTGGACTTCTGATCATCCAGGATGGTGAGATAAATAGGTTGAAAACAACCATCTGTGAGTTTAGGAGGCTGAAGATCCTCACAGCCCGGGAGCAGGGAGAGGCTCTAGAACAAGGTTTCACAACCGAGATGCCTTTGACGTTTTGGGCTGAAGAGTTCTTTGTAAGGGAGACCTGTTTCCTGTTTTGTGCATTACAGCATTACAGGGTGTTTAGCAGCATCCCTGGCCCACCCTAGTTACGACAACCAAAAACCTCTCTATACGTTGCCAAATTTCTCCTAGGGGGCAAAATCGCCTCCATTTGAGAACCACAGCTCTAAAGTCAAGATGTTTTTCTCTTAAGTGACTTCTGCTTGGCATGCTACCCTCATCATGTTACTCATCTTAAGCCTGAGCCATGGATGAACTAGGACCCCATATAAATTAGGTTCTGTAGAGCTGCACGTAATCTTCAAACAATCCTCTATTCGGTGTTTTGCTTGTGCTCGCATGTCGCTCTGGACAGGTACCATGCTCCTCCGTTCTCCCACTCTGGAGAAGTGGTTCCTGCAGTGTAGAGACATGAACAGGGTATGGTAGGACTGGGCAAAGGGGCGACACAAGCCATAGATACACTCCTTATCCTCGCCAAATCTTAAGCTCTATTTCTGTGCCCTAGTCCTAGATCCAGACGCACGTTAGACTCAGGGAGTTTTGTCTGAAGACCAGGTCCCACTGCCCCCCAGCTGAAGAGTTGGCTTTAGATGGGAAAACAGCACAGGAGCAGGGGTCTTTCGGCACTTTCAGTATTCTCAGGTGTTCTTCGTTCTGGACTTTCCAGGGTAATTAGGAAGGCAGAACAAGACAGATGAGCTCCTTCCTGCTCTGAGACAAGAAGGCTGGGGTCTCATTAGCTTTGCGACAGCAAACATCCTGTTTTATGGTAGTGGGTTCAGGAATGTAAGAACTGGTATCCATTCTGCCAATTCCAGCACCCATTCAGTGTGCTTTACCTACAGAATAGTGACTGTAGGTAGAAGGTTCTATTTTTTTTTTTTCCCTCAAATTTCCATGTATTTTCTGCCATTTTTCAGGGTCTAAGATTGGTCACACATTCCCAATTCACTCTTAGTTCTAGTCAAGCTAGTTGCTCTGAAAGTAACCCAACTTGTTGCCCTAAAATAGCTCAGTAGCCTGAGTGTTATACTAGAGATCTAGAGGGTTCACAGGATAGGTAGAAAGGCTAGAGACTCCTGGAATCTCTGGATTCATTCAGCCTCCTTCTAATACCTCTTCTTTGGACACAGTCTTTCTCCTTTGGTGCTCTCTTGCCTTTAGCTACCTTCTCTAATATGTATGCTACCATCACTAATAAAGTGATGGGAATGGGTTTGAGAGTCATAATTTATATTAAAAAGTTGTTGGACTTTTAAATACGTTTTTCAAATAAAAAATTTAAGCAAAATAGTTGCACAGTAATCATTGCAGGTGTGTGTTGGATTAAAGGATGGATACTGCTGATGAAGATAACTCCTCGAAAGTGGCTGAGATGGAATTTTATACCAACATTGCCCTTTTGAGGAGAGAGGGTTAAGCACTATGAAAGCAAGACCACTGCCATCCTTCAAGGGCCCTGCTCCCTGTTCTTCCTACTCCCTTTTCTTCGCGTTTATTTGAGATTTTTCAAGTCTGTAAAAGAAGTACTTGTTTGAAAACAATGTTGGAAATGAGGAAAATGAGCAATATCAACATTTTATCCTGAGAGACAGGGAGTAGAAACAAGCCAGAGGCTGCTAATTACACAGTTCAGTCTTAGGGATGAAGATTTATGTCTCTCCTCCCTCAGGTACCTCTGTAAAAAAACAAACAAACAAACAAACAAAAACCCCACAAGACCAAACAATGTATTTTCCAGTTTTGTTTTCTGTACTCAAAATATCTAGTGGGTGCTAGGATTGAAAGGGCAAGAGAGGTTGACATGCTGACACATCCTCTGTGGATGAAGTGGCCATTACCTCTGGTTTCTGTCTATCTGGGTAAGGAAAAAGAGAAAAAGGGAAATTACAACCACATCTATATTCTTTTCCTTGCTTCATCTCCCCCTCCCACAAACCCATCTCAACCCTACTGCCCGCCCCCACAACTTATTTTTGTATAGTAATGGTACTGAACACACAAGGAGGAAAAAAAAACAAGCAAAATGACCAAGTACATGCTTTTTCGCCTTTCCTTCCTCAAAGTCCCATCATCCTTATCAAGTCAACCAGAACCTTTGGTGATTCTTGGTAAAGCAGAGGACAGTTCTCCTAGATGGTAGTGCTGAAGAGGGTCAATAGTAACTAATACAGCTTAACAGTAACAACAGCCAAAATCTGAGATCTTACTATGTGCTCTTTACCTCAATCAATCCTTACACCCTATGAAGTATTATTATCCCTGCTTTTCAGATGAAGAAACAGGTTTACAAAGCTAGTAAGTGGCAGAGCCACGAGATTTAAACCAGGTTTGACTAAAAAATCTATCTATCTATCTATATATATACAGACACACACACGCACACACACACAATTAGCCAGGCGTGGTGGCACACGCCTGTAGTTTCAGCTACCCGAGAGGCTAAATTAAAATGAATTCCTTTTTTTTCCCTTTTTCGTTCCCCCGCTCCCCCCGCCCCCCCAGATGGAGTTTTACTCTTGTTGCCAAGGCTGGAGAGCAATGGCGTGATCTCGGCTCACTGCAACCTCCGCCTCCTGGATTCAAGTGATTCTCCTGCCTCAGCCTCCCGAGTAGTTGGAACTACAGGTGTGTCCCACCACACCTGTAGTTCTACCACACCCGGCTAATTTTTTGTATTTTTAGTAGAGACAGGGTTTCACTATGTTGACCAGGCTGATCTTGAACTCCTGACCTCAGTTGATCCACCCGCCTCAGTCTCCCAAAGTGCTGCGATTACAGGCGTGAGCTACTGCGCCTGGCCAGTATTTCCAATCTTAACTATTCGGTCAATAATCACGTAATGAGCAGTAAGACATTTTACCTAATGACCAATCAGCAGTTGCTCAATAAATAATAGGTAGAATCAATGGCCAACAATAACATGAATAACCAATGCGTGTTACGAATCAATAACCAGGTAAGTCAGTAACAGTTCATGTAAGCAACACCGGCTGGCTTAGCAACCGGGTTTTAGATATCAAGACTTTTCAGATCCATCAGCCAAGATCCTCGCTCATCACGAAACACTTACCGGTTGCATCTCTGTGAACACTGAAGAGAGGCTGTTCCAAATATCCTCCAGGCCAATCCTGACCTGTTTCCAAAAAGCTAGGGCTGGGCAGGGGCTGGTGGGTGGCAGGATGGGACTGCTTCTGAGGTGGATGGTGGGCGGGGAGGTAACGGTGGTCCTGGTAGTGCTCTGAGAGGCACAGTTGTTGTCAGTACAGAGACTTGTGTCCAGGGGGCACTCTTCCCGAAGTCGGTTGCAGGGACATTGCTGGTAGGTGCAAGGCTTGTGCTCCGTGCGGAGCTGGCTCAGAGCCCCAACTCGAAGGCGCCCGGAAAGGCCGTGCAGCTTCCCAGACCGGGTCCGGCTCATGGTGCCCGACTTGCAGTGGCAGTGCCACGGGCCCCAGGGCATGAGCACCAACTGCAGATCCTCAGGAGGGGGCATGGCTGTGGCTGTGGGCGAGGGTGACGGCCACCCGCTCGGTGTGGACCCGGCTGTGGACCACTGGCTCAGGGTGGGCTCCGAGCCTGGCAGGGCCCCAGTAGACCTCCAGGTGGAGCGCGGCAGGCTCGTGGTCAGCCTGATTTCGGGCTCCTGACTATTGGCTACGAATGTCGTGCTGGAACTCCCCGCTGTACTGGGAGTCGTACCGGGAAGCGCTCTGCTGGTGTTATCCTTTCCGGCACTAATCACAACCCCCTCTTCCAAAGACCCATCCTCCTCGTTGCTGGAGGACAACCGGTTAAAGCCTGTGAACACTGTGGAGGCCAAGAGCTCGGCAGCCGCGGGGCCAGCCAGGCGGTCGGCGTTGGCCATGGCATCGTTCTCGTCCTCTAGGATTATCCTTGTCTTTCGGGGAAGACCGGTCCGGGCGGTGCTCCGGTAGCGGCGGGTCATGGGGCCCCCCAGGCGTAAGCTCCCCTGCTGCATTGTGGTCGGAGTCTGGGTCAGGCCTTGGGCCCCCGCCGCCCGGGGACCCAGACTCAGCAGCAGGGCCCAGAGCAGCGCGCCGGCGGCGGGGACCATGGGCTGGGCTCTTGGGGTTGGGAGGGAGGCCAGTGAGGCAAGCCCTGCCTCTTACCTTCGCTCCCTCCCTTCCGCTGTCGACCCACCGGGTCGTTTGAACTGAAGCCCGCGGGGAAGGGGGCGGGGTTCGACGCGCAGAGGCGCGCGCCACGCAGGATTGCTCCTGCAGCCGCAAGGGACTAAATTAAAAATCCTAAGGAATCTCTGTGGCAAGAACTCAGTGCCAGAACCGAAAGGAGGATTGTGATGCAAGGGGTGGTGAGAGTCGTTCACGTCTTTGGAGCAGAGCTTAAATGTCTCATCGCAGTTTATTAGCCTCTACAGATCTCAATTTACTCAAGAGGGCAAACATACAGGGTTTTGAAAGCACTCCTTCCCAGGCTCTCAGGTAGCAGACATGACTTAGAAGGAATAAGGGCATACAGCGGTTTTTCAAGGTTTAATGAGCGGACTCTCCCAGCTCCCAGCAGGCAGGCTGGCTGTCAAGTAGGCCTCTTCCATCCAAGGTGGAAGGATCACAGCCCCTCCAGTTAGACAGGAAGAAAATGAGGACCCGAAAAGATGAAGGTATTTGCCCAAGCTTCTACAGCAAAAGCAAGATTAAAACCCACAGCTCTGCATATCCCATACAAAATGACCCTACACTCAGCCTTCCACCCCAACAGCTGGAATGAACGTCACCCAGCAGATCAGCTTCCCAGTCTCAAAGCCCAGCTGAAGGCAGGGGTCATGCAGAGGACGCAATCCCACTGAGAAGCGAAGAACCGGTGGTACTGAGGTTGGGGATAAGACGATTTACAGAACAGCTCAGATGTTTCTGGGATTCGGGTGCAGGCAGGTCACCATCTTCGCTTGGTTCTAAGGCCCGTTATCCAGTCCTGTGCTAGGTCCCTCCTGAGCCATGGAGATCCTGGTCCAGCCTAGGAGAGGGACAGGGGGAGGAGAGAAGCGGTTCAGGGGCAGGACTTGGGGTTTACATTCTGGTCTGCGGAGATCGGCCAGGTGAATTTGAAGGGCTAGATGACTGGGTTGAGTCATCATTTAGCACTTTTGCTCCCTAGCACCCTCTCCTCCCCTGGGATATCATCTGTTCACTGCCAACACAGCTCTTCCTAATTTCTAGGGCCAGGCTGAATCTTCTCTGCACTGTGATCATTCCTTGTCGCCTCTGCACTTAGATGTATAGGGTTTTTTTCATTTATTCTTGCGGGATGCGGTAGTGCCCTTCATTTCTTCTTTGGGTGTGTGCAGTTTTCCCATATATACTGAAGCACCCAAAAGCAGGGCCTCTTATCTTTTCATTCTGTTGCACGTTCCCCAAGGCATTAAAAAAGTAGGGTTGGCTTTACACATCCCACCCCCAAAACTTTATCCTCAAGTGTGAAACTCACTGTCTGACAGCTTCAGGGATGTGGACGTGATCCAGGGATATGAGTTGGGCCAGCTCCTCCAGGCTATCCAGAAAACGGATTTTCCGTGTGAATTTGGAACTGAAAAGAGAGAATAAACCAACTGTTTCGTATTGGGAGACGCGTTCCCAAAAATCCTTGCAAAGAAAAATGTGGAAGTAGAGTGTTATTAAGGCTAGAAAGAATCAAGGTGGAGAAAGATCTTCTTAATCTTGATTTTGAGAATGTGGAGAAGGAGAAGGGAGTCCTCGTTCCTAGAGCTAGTACCTGATGAAGGGCCGAAGCAGTGCCAGAAATGCCTTCACATACCACGTGGCGTGGACAACCACCAGGGCTCGCAGGTTTTTTCGCAGCCTAAAAAAGAACATGAGATCATCCTATTTCTTCTTCCACCTTTATGTGTGAAGATCACGTGGAACTCTTTTCTGTACTGTAATTTCCTTCACTTCTCTAGTTTCTAGATTTATCTGGTACTTGGGTCTAATCCCCATTCCATTCGCTGTCATCTCAGCTCCACTCACCTTACTTAGCCCTCCATGATCCTCATTTATGTTTTTGTTTTTTTTTTTGAGACGGAGTTTTGCTCTTGTTACCCAGGCTGGAGTGCAGTGGCGCCATCTCGGCTCACCGCAACCTCCGCCTCCTGGGTTCAGGCAATTCTCCTGCCTCAGCCTCCTGAGTAGCTGGGATTACAGGCACGCGCCACCATGCCCAACTAGTTTTTTTTTTTTTTTTTTTTTTTTTTTTTGAGATGGAGTTTCGCTCTTGTTACCCAGGCTGGAGTGCAATGGCGCGATCTCGGCTCACCGCAACCTCCGCCTCCTGGGCTCAGGCAATTCTCCTGCCTCAGCCTCCTAAGTAGCTGGGATTACAGGCACGTGCCACCATGCCCAGCTAGTTTTTTGTATTTTTAGTAGAGACGGGGTTTCACCATGTTGACCAGGATGGTCTCGATCTCTTGACCTTGTGATCCACCCGCCTCGGCCTCCCAAAGTGCTGGGATTACAGGCTTGAGCCACCGTGCCCGGCTAGTTTTTTGTATTTTTAGTAGAGACGGGGTTTCACCATGTTGACCAGGATGGTCTCGATCTCTTGACCTCGTGATCCACCCGCCTCGGCCTCCCAAAGTGCTGGGATTACAAGCTTGAGTCACCGCGCCCGGCCTATGATCCTCATTTAAAAAAAAAAAACTCTCCTAGCCAGGTGCGGTGGCTCAGACTTAGAATCCCAGTGCTTTGGGAGGCCGAGGCAGGCCATCACCTGAGCTAAGGAGTTTAAGACTGGCCTGAGAAGCATGGCAAAACCCTGTCTCTCACAGAAAAAGATACAAAATTAGCTAGGCATGGTGGTGGTGCACACCTGTGGTCCAAGCTACTTGGGAGGCTGAGGTGGGAGGATGACTTGAGCCAGGGAGGCGGAGGCTGCAGTGGGCCAAAATCGTGCCACTGCACCGCAGCCTGGGCACCAGAGAAGACACGCAGGTCAGTGACGAAGGCAGAGAAGAAGACAATGGACGTGTGGAACAGGAAATAAATGGCAAGACTGAGAGAGAAGAGGAAGAGTGCTTTCTGTGCGCCAGGCAATATGCCACACTAATTTACTCGATTTTCACAAATACCCAGTGGCAAAAAGTATCATCATTGCCATTTTACAGATAAAGAAGCGGAAGCGGCCGCGTGCAGTGGCTCATGCCTGTAGTCCCAGCAGTTTGGGAGGTGGGCAGATCGCTTGAGATCAGGAGTTTGAGACCAGCCTGGGAAAAATGGCAAAACTCCATCTCTACAAAAAATACAAAAGTTAGCCGGGCACGGTGGCCCATACCTGTAGTCCCAGCTACTTGGGAAGCTTGAGGTGGGAGGATCACTTGAGCCTGGGAGGCAGAGGTGGCAATGAGCTGAGATTGTGCTGCTGTACTCCAGTCTGGAGGACAGAGCCAGACCCTGTCTCAAAACACACACACACACACACACACACACACACACACACACACAGCCTAAAAAAAGAAGCTGAAGCCCAGAGAGGTTAAGTGACTTGTCCAAAGCCAAACAGCTAGTAAATGGTAACGTGGGTAATGGCAGGATTTGAAACTAGATCTCTGACTCCAAGAGAGGACAGAAAACCAAAGAGCTGGGAAAGGAACGTAGGATAAAGAAAACAGGAAGGGACCAAATGGAAGAAGAAAGAATGGAAAGGTGGGAAAAACGATGAGAGAGTGAGTTGTAGCCCTCTTGTCCCAGGTCTCACCGCCGATCCAGGGTGCGGTAACACTGGCGGATCCAGCTCAGAGGCGGAACTTGGGCCCTGCTTGTGCCTCCACTCAAATGAACAAGCAGGTAATTTTCAGCTACTAGCAGCTCCAGCGTTCCCACCAGATACCTGGGCGATGAAATTGCAGGGAAAGTATGCGTTGGGGGTTGCAGGAGTGAGAGGGAACATTCCTAGAGACTCTCCAATTAGCTACTGATCTTTGAAGGAGTTCTTTTTCACTTTTCCCTCGCTAACACTGCCCTGGAGCTCTCCAGGCCTTCCACCTCACCTAAACAAGTGTTCCATGACGTAGGTGTAGTTGGGGATGCTGCTTCTGGGTAGATAACAGGAAGCAAAAAGAATGACAGCGTTGAGACCATCACCGTGGTAACCTGGAGAGTATAAGGGGAAAATTCATTTGGTCGACAAATATGTAATGTATTGACAGATAGTACATCTGTTTAAGTCGAGGGACTCTCAGGGTCTCTGGAAGCTACAGGATAGATTTCAGATCAATGACTGAGTCTCCAGCTTAGGCATTTTATTTAAGAAGGCATAGCTCTTTTTTTTTTTTTTTTTTTTTGAGACGGAGTTTCACCCTTGTTACCCAGGCTGGAGTGCAATGGCGTGATCTCGGCTCACTGCAACCTCCGCCTCCTGGGGTCAGGCAATTCTCCTGCCTCAGCCTCCTGAGTAGCTGGGATTACAGGCACGCGCCACCATGCCCAGCTAATTTTTTGCACTTTTAGTAGAGACGGGGTTTCACCATGTTGACCAGGATGGTCTCGATCTCTCGACCTCGTGATCCACCCGCCTCGGCCTCCCAAAGTGCTGGGATTACAGGCTTGAGCCACCGCGCCCGGCGCGAAGCCATAGCTCTTACCCCTCTATTTATGCTAGCCATTACCTCCATGAGACAGGACTTTCTTATAGGGCTCAATGACAGTCATGTCCACACGCTGCTCCCGTGGTCCCATTCGGAACACCCTCCAGTGATGTCCATCTTCTCCAGCCACATCCCACATACAGCCTCGGCCCAGCCTTTCAGCTGCCTCACTGGCGCCCAGACCCTCTGCTCGGGGTAACTCGTCTAAAAGAGAGGGTTGGGAAAGGATCAGCAAGGTTGATTTCCTACCTTCAGTTTTTTGTAACTTCCTCAGAATCCTAGTTTGTTACTCAAATTTGTCATTCCTCGATTTTTTCCTTGATTCTTTTTTTTTTTTTTCTGTTTTTGAGATGGAGTCTCACTTTGTTAACCAGGTTGGAGTGCAGTGGCATGATCACGGCTCACTGCAACCTCCGCCTCCCAGGCTCAAGTGATCCTCCCAACTCAGCCTCCTGAGTAGCTGGAACCATAGGCACGTGCTACCACGCTTGGCTAATTTTTTGGTAGAGATAGAGTTGTACCATGTTGCCCAGGCTGGTGTCATATTCCTGAGCTCAAGCCACCTGTCCACCTCAGCCTCCCAAAGTGCTGGGATTACAGGCGTGAGCTACCACACTCAGCCTTTTCCTTGACTTTTAGCCCTGTTTTGCCCAGTCAATCCAATGTCTTGCTAGTTTCTTTCTCCTGTGACTCACTATCCTCACCTTTTCACTAGATGATGGACTTTGGATGACCTTGTACTATGACCCTTAGCAGTATCAGGTATTTTTTGAGAGTCTTTTTTTTTTTTTTTTTTGAGACAGAGTTTCACTCTTGTTACTCAGGCTGGAGTGCAATGGCGTGATCTCGGCTCACCGCAATGTCCGCCTCCTGGGGTCAGGCAATTCTCCTGCCTCAGCCTCCTGAGTAGCTGGGATTACAGGCACGCGCCACCACGCCCAGCTAATTTTTTGTATTTTTAGTAGAGACGGGGTTTCACCATGTTGACCAGGATGGTCTCGATCTCTCGACCTTGTGATCCACCCGCTTGGCCTCCCAAAGTGCTGGGATTACAGGTGTGAGCCACCGCGCCCAGCCTTGAGAGTCTTTTATTTAAAGTTATGCCTTTTATTTCTAATAGTCTGGTTATTCTATGTATGTATGTATGTATGTATGTGTGTGTGTATGTGTGTATGTATGTATGTATTGAGACAGTTTGGCTGGGCGTAGTGGCTCATGCCTGTAATCCAAGCACTTTGGAGGCCAAGGCGGGTGGGTCACCTGAAGTCAGGAGTTCAAGACCAGCCTGACCAACACGGTGAAACCCCATGTTAAAAAAAAAAAATAAGGCCGGGAGCGGTGGCTCAAGCCTGTAATCCCAGCACTTTGGGAGGCCGAGGCGGGCGGATCACAAGGTCAAGAGATCGAGACCATCCTGGTGAACTTGGTGAAACCCCGTCTCTACTAAAAATAAAAAAAAATATTAGCTGGGCATGGTGGTGCGTGCCTGTAATCCTAAATACTCAGGAGGCTGAGGCAGGAGAATTGCCTGAACCCAGGAGGCGGAGGTTGCGGTGAGCCGAGATCACGCCATTGCACTCCAGCCTGGGCAACAAGAGCGAAACTCCATCTCAAAAAAAAAAAAAAAAAAAAAAAAAAATAGGCCAGGCGTGGTGGCTCAAGCCTGTAATCCCAGCACTTTGGGAGGTTGAGGCGGATGGATCACAAGGTCAAGAGATCGAGACCATCCTGGTCAACATGGTGAAACCCCGTCTCTACTAAAAAAAAATACAAAAAATTAGCTGGGCATGGTGGCGCGTGCCTGTAATCCCAGCTACTTAGGAGGCTGAGGCAGAAGAATTACCTGAACCCAGGAGGCGGAGGTTGCGGTGAGCCGAGATCGCGCCATTGCACTCCAGCCTGGGTAACAAGAGTGAAACTCCATCTCAAAAATAAAATAAAATAAAATAAAAAAGAGACAGTCTCCCTTTGTTGCCCAGGCTGGAGTGCAATGGTAAGATCTCGGCTCACTGCAACCTCCGCCTCCTGGGTTCAAGCATTTCTCCTGCCTCAGCCTCCCGAGTAGCTGAGATTACAGGCAGCTGCCACCATGTCCACCTGACTTTTTACATTTCTAGTAGAAATGGAGTTTCACCATGTTGGCCAGGCTGGTCTCAAACTCCTGGCCTCAGGTGCTCTACCTGCCTTGGCCTCCCAAAGTGCTGGGATTCCAGGCATAAGCCACTGTGCCCAGCCTCTAACCCAGGCTGCTGTCCCAACTTCCAGCCATATCCCTAAATGCCCAGAGTGTATGTCTTCACTTGGTGTCTCCTTGTCATTAACAAGTCACCAGATCTAAAAGGGAACTCAAGGCTGTGCTCAGTGGCTCATGCCTGTAATCCCAGCACTTTGTGAAGCCAAGAAAGAAGGATTGCTTGAAGCCAGGAGTTTGAGACCCGCCTGGGTGACAAAAATAATAAAATTACAAACTACAAAACAACAACAACAAAAAAACAAAATGGAGCTCAAAATCATTCTCTTCTGCTTTAGGAGGCCAAGGTGGGAGGATCACTTGTGCCCAAGAGTTCAAGGCTGCAGTAAGCTGTGATCAACCAGTGCACTCTAGTCTGAGTGACAGAGTGAGACCTGGTCTCTAAAAATAATAATAATAAATAAATCATTCTTCTTATTCTCCCTCATATTTCTTATCTTTTTTTTTTTTTTTTCTGAGATGATGTCTTGTTCTGTCACCTGGGCTGGAGTGCAGTGGTGCGATCTCAGCTCACTGTAACCTCTGCCTCCCAGGTTCAAGCAATTCTCACGCCTCAGTCTCCTGAGTAGCTGGGACTACAGGTGCACACCATCACGCCTGGCTCATTTTTGTATTTTTAATAGAGACGAGTTTCCGCCATGTTGGCCAGGCTTTTCTCAAAACCCCTGACCTCAGGTGATCTGCCTACCTCAGCCTCCCAAAGTGCTAGGGGTTACAGGCATGAGCCACCATGCCAGCCATATATCCTATCTTGATGAATGACTCAATTCATCTAGCTGCCTGAGAGAGAAAACTGTATTATTATTATTATTATTATTTTAAATATGGAGTTTCACCATATTGGTCAGGCTGGTCTCAAACTCCTGACCTCAGGCGATCCGCCCACCTCAGCCTCCCAAAGTGCTGGGATTATAGGCGTGAGCCACCGCGCCCGGCCGAAAACTATATCATTATTATTGTGTTCTGTAGAGACAGGGACTCATTCTGTCACCCAAGCTGGAGTATACTGGCTTGACCTTTGCTCACCGCAGCCTTGACCTCCTGGGTTCAAGGGATGTTCCCACCCCAGCTTCCCAAGTAGCTAGGGCTGTGGGTACACATCAACGTGCCTGGATAATGAGAAAACTACATGTCATGTGAAACTCTATCAGCTCTGAAATCAACTGGACTCCAGACTGTCTCCTATCTACCTCTGCTATTCCTTCATCATCTTTTCCACGACTGCTCTCCCGGTTTGAGTTCTTAGTATTTCTCACCTGGCCTTGGTACTAGCCTCCTGACTACTTTCCCTCTGCCTCTAGTCTGTTTTTTTCCCAGTCTACCCTCTTATACCACTGCTAGAGCAAGCTTTCCTTTTCTTTCTTTTTTTTTCTTTTGAGATGGGGTCTTGCTCTATCTTGTAGGCTGGAGTGCAGTGGCATGATCTTGGCTCACTGCGACCTCTACTTTCCAGGCTCTGGAGTAGCTAAGTTAAGTAGTAGGGATTACAAATATGTGCCATAAAACCCGCTAATTAAAAAAAAAATTATTTTTGGAGAAATAGGGTTTCACTTTGTTGCCCAGGCTGGTCTCGACTCTTGGGCTTTTGCTGCCCTCCTCGGCCTCCCAAAGTGTTGGGATGCATGAGCCACTGCACCCAGGCTCTTTACCTTTTTATTCAAATAATAATATATCATACCCACCCTTCTGCATGATCTTTCCATAGCAATAGAAAGAGGTGCTTAATTTAAAAAAAAAAAAAAAGTTGCATAGCCAGGCACAGTGGCTCAGTCCTGTAATTCCAACACTTTGGGAGGCTGAGGCAGGAGGATTGCTTGAGGCCAGGAGTTCAAGACCAGCCCGGGCAACATAGCAAGACCCTGTCTCTACAAAAATATCTAAAAATTAGCCACGTGTGATGGCGTGTACCTATAGTCTCAGATACTTAGGAGGCTGAGGCACGATAATCACTTGAACCTAGGAAGTAGAGGTTGCAGTGAGCTGAGATTTCACCACTCCACTCCAGCCTGGGTGATGGGGTGAGACTCTGTATGAAAAACAAAAACTTACCATGACTCCCTATTGTCTATAGATAAAACCTAAACTCCTTAGCATGGCATCAAGGGCTTCCATGATTTGACCTTCGCCTACTTAACCCAGCAGCACTATCTTTTGTCATTCTCTTTTCACCTCCCAGCCCTTCATATTAAAATCGTCATGCTTCATACTTTGAATTCCCCAACATGCCATACTATTGCTTTGTTGCTTCTGCTTCTTCTACTTAGAATGCCCTGTCTCCAACTACCTGATAACCGTCAGCCTCAGCTTTATTTTTTTTTTTCAGATGGAGTCTCCCTCTATCGCCCAGGTTGGAGTGCAGTGGTGTGATCTCGGCTCACTGCAACCTCCGCCTCCTGGGTTCAAGCAATTCTCCTGCCTCAGCCTCCTGAGTAGCTGGGATTACAGGTGTGTGCCACCATGCCCAGCTAATTTTTGTATTTTTAGTAGAGATGGGGTTTCACCATGTTGGTCAGGCTGGTCTCAAACTCCTGACCTCGTGATCCACCCCCCTTGGCCTCCCAAAGTGCTGGGGTTACAGGAGTGAGCCACCATGGCTGGCCAGCTTCAGCTTTCAGCAGTCAGTTCAGAATCACCTCCTTCACAAAGCCTTTCCTAACATCTCTCAGGCTGAAGTGACCTCTTCCTTCTCCCTGCCTACGCTGTACCCTATGCATATACAGATCATAACCTTTAACTGCAATTATTTGTATATATGTTTATTTCCTACTAAGCAGAGAATTCCCTGTAGGGCCTCTCTTATTCATCTTTATAACCCCAGTCCTATCCATGATAGGCTGTAACAGGCATTCAATTAAAAATTCCTTAATAAACCAAGGGCTCCCCTCCCCGTCTATGACTACTCTCACTTTGGACCTATAAGCCCTGCTCTTTCGTTTGAGGAAACTAATTTTGCTGGCGGTAGCTCTTGGTCCCTTATTAGTTCTTTTTTTTTTTTTTTTTTTTTGGGACGGAGTTTCGCTCTTGTTACCCAGGCTGGAGTGCAATGGCGCGATCTTAGCTCACCGCAGCCTCCGCCTCCTGAGTTCAGGCAATTCTCCTGCCTCAGCCTCCTGAGTAGCTGGGATTACAGGCATGTGCCACGATGCCCAGCTAATTTTTTGTATTTTTAGTAGAAACGGGGTTTCACCATGTTGACCAGGATGGTCTTGATCTCTTGACCTCGTGATCCACCCGCCTCGGCCTCCCAAAGTGCTGGGATTACAGGCTTGAGCCACCGCACCCGGCCCCCACCTTATTAGTTCTAACTACAGTCCCATTAAGTCCATCCTGATCCTTTAGCACTAGCCTCTACTTCTACCAGCTCTGGGTCCTCTGGTTTGCTTCCTACCTTCCCATTCAAATTCGTGTCCACTGTCCAGCTGCTCCGAGTCTGAAGGTGTCTCTAATTCGTCTACGTCCAGGTCAGAACTCCCATCAGGAGAGGAAGGTGCAGACTGGGTGGGAGAAGCTCCAGGCCCCTTAGTCAGACTCAGTCGCAACTCTGGGGCAGAAAGACGCTTGCGCATGGGGCGCTGGCCACACAGGGCTAAAGTGAGGGGGGTACCTGCGGTTGGAGAAAGGAGGAAAAAGAGAACCGAGACGGATGAGTGTGTTGGGGGGCTGAGAGGGCTAGAATTCCTTGTATGTGGCAGTGATAATAGGGGGTGAATTCTGAAGACGGGCACAGGGGACCTTTGGGAAAGGGGGAAATGGAACTGTAAGGGAATAGAGGTGGCACAGGCCTTCACTGGACTAGAATTAAGAACTTGAGGCTGGGCGCGATGGCTCACGCCTGTAATCCCAGCACTTTGGGAGGCCAAGGCGGGCGGATCATGAGGTCAAGAGATCGAGACCACCCTGACCAACATGGTGAAACCCCGTCTCTACTAAAAAATACAAAAATATTAGCTGGGAATGGTGGTGCAGTGCCTGTAGTCCCAGCTACTCGGGAGGCTGAGGCAGGAGAATTGCCTGAAACCAGAAAAACGGAAGTTGCAGTGAGCCGGGATTGCGCCATTGCACTGCAGCCTGGCGATAGAGCGAGACTGTCTCACACACACAAAAAAAAAAAAAAAAAGAAAGAAAGAAAGAAAGAGCCGGGTGCGGTGGCTCAAGCCTGTAATCCCAGCACTTTGGGAGGCCGAGGCGGGTGGATCACGAGGTCGAGAGATCGAGACCATCCTGGTCAACATGGCAAAACCCCGTCTCTACTAAAGATACAAAAAATTAGCTGGGCATGGTGGCACGTGCCTGTAATCCCAGCTACTCAGGAGGCTGAGACAGGAGAATTGCCTGAACCCGAGGAGGTGGAGGTTGCGGTGAGCCGAGATCGCGCCATTGCACTCCAGCCTGGGTTACAAGAGCGAAACTCCGTCTCAAAAAAAAAAAAAGAAAACGAAAGAAAGAAAGAAAGAAAAAAGAACTTGAGGTCTGGTTTCTACTTGACCTACCTGCCTGTGAGTCTCCTTTAGGATCTTCAGGATCTCCAGAAGGTCCAACCTCCTCAGGGAGCAATCTAGAGGGAAAGAGATTGAAAGGGGGCAGAGATGTACACCAAAGGCATCAAGCTGGGACTCCGTATATAGGTTCTCTCTCCTGGCCATGATTTTATCACATCTGCTTTCTTTTTTTTTATTGTTTTTTTGAGATAAGGTCTCACTCTTTGCCCAGGCTGGGATGCAGTGGAACAATCATGGCTCACTGCAGCCTCTACCTCCAGGGCTCAAGCCATCCTCCCACCTCAGCCTCCCAAGTAGCTGGGACTACAGGCCTGCACTACCATGCCTGGCTACATTTTGTATTTTGGTAGAGATGGGTTTTTGCCATGTTGCCCAGAGTAGTCTTGAACTTCTGAGCTCAAGTGATCCACCTGCCTTGGCCTCCCAAAATGCTGAGATTACAGGCATGAGCCACCATGCCTGGCCTGTTTTCCTTTTGCAAATTTTTTTTTTTTTTTTTTGAGACAGAGTTTCGCTCTTGTTACCCAGGCTGGAGTGCAATGGCGCGATCTCGGCTCACCACAACCTCCGCCTCCTGGGCTCAGGCAATTCTCCTGCCTCAGCCTCCTGAGTAGCTGGGATTACAGGCACGTGCCACCATGCCCAGCTAATTTTTTGTATTTTTAGTAGAGACGGGGTTTCACCATGTTGACCAGGTTGGTCTTGATCTTTTGACCTCGTGATCCACCCGCCTCGGCCTCCCAAAGTGCTGGGATTACAGGCTTGAGCCACCGCGCCCGGCCTGTTTTCCTTTTGCGAATTTTTTTACTTCAAGTCCTAATTCACCATCCTTGCATCCATTTGTTTGGTTTTTGTTTGGTTGGTTGGTTGGTTTTGTTGTTTTTGAGATGGAGTTTCGCTCTTGTTACCCAGGCTGGAATGCAATGGTGCAATCTCAGCTCACTGCAACCTCTGCCTCCCGGGTTCAAGCAATTCTCCTGCCTCAGCCTCCAAAGAAGCTGGGACGACAGGCATGCGCCATCACACCTGGCTAATTTTTTTATTTTTAGTAGAGATGGGATTTCACTATGTTGGTCAGGCCTGTCTCAAACTCCTGACCTCAGGTGATCCACCCACCTCGGCCTCCCAAACTGCTGGGATTACAGGCATGAGCTGCCCATCCCTTCCTTCCCCCAGCCACCCTCACACCATCTCACCTAGGGAATTCTTCATCCTGCCATTCCTCCTTCAGCTCCAGTTCCCCACGTCTCAGGGCTGCTCCTAGTTCTGCTGCTTCTCCACTCTCCCTGACCCTAAGACAGACCCCCAAGAAGAAAAGGGTGAGGGAACTGAACAGTAGGTAAGAATAATTGGGATGAAAACCAGTAATTGAGATACAGAGCAGAGAGAAGGCCTTCAAAAGAACTCAGACCTCTTGCCTCCTACACAGGGATTTCTTTCACCTTCACCACTTACTAGATTGCCTGCTGTTGGGTTTGGGAGCAGAGAACAGATGGAATATAAAGTTAATCATATTTAGCTCTGCAGCAATTGCTCCACCTATGAAGTGGGGGGTGAGAGATGTCCCAGATTACAATTGGCTGGAACCCAGCTAGACCCACCCAGCTATCACTGAGCAAAGTCAGACAAGACGGCACCTAGTCAGGCCTGCCTTTCCGCTACCATGCTGGGGAGTGGCTAAGAGAAAACACAGCATAGGTGGAGGGGTGGGGAAAAAAGGTAAGAAGAAAGATTTGCCGGGAATCAGAACCTGGACCTAAACTCGGTTCTGGTTCAGCTTTCCTGATGGTCATTCTGGAGGGTGAGGGTTAGAAAATAACACAGGCAGATTGATCAGATACAACATGATACAGAAACTTCCTTTGTTTTTAAGCCAGGGATTTATCCTGGATTCCCCTGTTCCCTCTTTCCATACCATACTGACATTTCCTACCTAAAACCACCCTCATCCCTTCTCTGCAAATTCTCTAAGAGTCTTGTCTCCTTGAGGAACCTGAGATTTGACCCAGTAAGAGCCGGGTGGTGGGAAAGTCTCTCAGGACTGTTTATTCTGTTTCTAATCAAGTGAGCCAAGATCTTACTTACCCAACGTCTAACTTCTTTTTGCCTGCCTCTTGTGTGGTTCCCATCTTCACAAGTCTTCCTGTCTTCTTTAAACACCTAAGAGTTGTTGGGGAGCTGGGTGTCCCAGCCCCCAACACTTCTTTACCTTTTTTTGTCTCAGCTGTGGTAGTTCTGGCCTCCAAGGAGGGAGGTGTGGAAGGGAGGTAACCTCATCTTCAAACAGGTTTTGCCACCTCCTGTCCCAAGGAGCAGGTTTGCCCAAAAGAAAAACCCTGCCTCCTGTGAGGGGGCGGGCTTTGGGGAGGAGAGTGCATTTTCTAGGGGGAGCAGTCTTGGCTGAATCCAGGAAGGCAATTTTTTCTCTTTTCCAGAGTCCTGATACCCTTTACACAAACAAACAAGCAAAAAGCCAGGAGAAATCATTGTGTTCCTAAGACTGTTATCTTGGGCCTACTTTTCAAGCATAAGCAAAACTGGGGAGACGGAATGTTAGAAGGAGGTTTCTGGGAGAATAAACAAGTTGAAGGGGAGGCTGAGGATGAGGAGAGACAGAAGCCTGTTGCTTCTTATTCCCAAAAAGAGTCAACAGAAAGAAGCCATTAAGTGTAATGGGAAGAAGGGAGATGGATTTTGAGGAGACTGAAACAATTATCACAGAGAAAGGCCCAATTACACCTGTAAAAAAAAAAAAGACAGTAAGATCCCAAACAGGAAAAAAGTATTTAATACTTTAACAAAATGCAAAAGAAAGTACCCAAGTTACAAAACATAAATTCCTTTGGTTCGTGATCACACCACTATTTTTACCTTCCACATAGCTACAGACATCACACCCTCAAAGTGAAGTCATAGACTGTCCCCCTCATACTGAAGATGTCAGGCCAAAACCATCACATACCCCACTGTTCAGTGAAGCTGTTGGCAACGTACATAGAATAGAGCTGTGGGGTAGGAAAAGAGGGAAAGGGTTGGTCTGAAAAAAAAAAAAAAAAAAAGTCAGGGAAAAACCGACACATGCAGAACAAGTCAGTGGGAGGGAGCTCTCTGCTGGGTCACCATGTCATAAACCACAACCCTATTCATGCTACATGAGGCTGAGTCCTTGCTACAGTCACACAGAAATACAGACAATCATGTGAACCTGAGCATCCCCAGGGATAACAGAAGAAAAATACAGAAAAGCAGAGGAGAGAAAGAATGGCAGCAAGAGGCAGATCACAGAATACCAGGGAACACCTCGTCCAAACCCTGTTTTATAGATGGGAAAAGTGAGACCTCGAGTAGTGAAGTATCTTGCCAAGACACAGTTTATGGCAGCATTAGAACTCCATCCTCCCTTTTAAAATGAGCAAGGAGAAAGAGAGATGGACAAGAAATTGATAGGCCTAGGCCGGGCACGGTGGCTCAAGCCTGTAATCCCAGCACTTTGGGAGGCCGAGGCGGGTGGATCACGAGGTCGAGAGATCGAGACCATCCTGGTCAACATGGTGAAACCCCGTCTCTACTAAAAATACAAAAAAATTAGCTGGGCCTGGTGGCGCGTGCCTGTAATCCCAGCTACTCAGGAGGCTGAGGCAGGAGAATTGCCTGAACCCAGGAGGCGGAGGTTGCGGTGAGCCGAGATCGCGCCATTGCACTCCAGCCTGGGTAACAAGAGCGAAACTCCGTCTCAAAAAAAAAAAAAAAAATGATAGGCCTGCTAAGCCAGGGGACAGACCCAGGCCTCTCATTCCAGCCTATGAGGTCGTTAAGGCCTTTCTGGGTGCTTTCTTAATTCTCGAGAATCAGGAGTCAGCAGGGTTCTAGGTGGCTCTGAGACAGAGGGATCCAGGAAACAGTCAGGCCACCTGATCAGGACAGAAGACAGTGGCCTCTGATCTGCTCCCAAACTAGATCTGAAACAGTCACAGTGAGCTCAGAAGAGAAATGCAGCCATCTCTGAATCAAACACCATCACCCAAATGGTGGCAGAATGGAGAGTCACAGAGCTGCAAATCCGCTGGGGAATGAAAACTGGAATAAGTTTCCACAGCGCACTCTCTTTTCTCTCTAGCTTGAGGCAGGTATTCAATAAATACTTGAATGAATGAGAATAAATGAAAACATGGAGACCATCAATGACTGTTTAGTTCCGTGACAGAGAATTGGTTCTGTTCAAGATCCATGCTGAGGGCACTTTGGGGTCTATATTCTTTTTGTCCCACTCTGCTGGGACTGTAGATGTGTCACATTGTGCCCCTGGCAAATGAAATAGAGAGAGATGCAGACTTAAATAATAAAATGTGTCTGATTGGTAGAGATGAGGGGGAAAAGGTGGAAAGCCATTCTTAAAGCAGCTGCCTTCTTTCACTTTTTTCTCCTCTCAGTTTTATGAGAACAGTACACCAGATCCCGGAGCAATGAAGACCGAATTGCTGAATCTCCAAACATCGCAAAACATGCATGTGAAGTGAGTCAGGTGCCTCACCCACTACCTCCTCTCCTCCCAACAGTCACTTCTTGGACAGGGAGGCAGCGGTTGATTGTGACAGTGAGATCTGACTGCACTTCTCGAAGACCGCCTCAGCAGAGAGTTTAGGCAGCCCCTGATCCAGAGGGCACTCATCCACCAAGCTGTTCATGGGCGTGGGGGGCAGCGGAGGGTCCTCCTCATCTTGACTCAGTTCAGAAATCAGGGAGTTACTTGCTTTGTCCAATTCCTTGTCCACCTGCTCCCTGGACACATCCACTGTCTCAGGCTGTCCTGAAGGGATCTTCATGGAGTCAAAATATGCTGACAGGGCTTCCTGGAGCAGGGGCAGAAGTTTCTTTCGAGAGACCTGGGTGTTGCCTTGAAGATAGGCATGGAGGTTAGGGTGGATGCTTGAGGTAGGGGTCAGCTTCAGGGGCGGAGACTGGGAGTGTTCCAGGACTTCACAGATCTAAAGAGGAGACAATAACAGGGAAATGTTACATAACCTGCTGTAGCAAAGCACTGAGGCTTCTAAGTGAGAGGCTTCCTCTACAGAAGAGAAAGCTTTCAAAAAGTAAGTTATCCTCGAGGCCGGGGGCAGTGGCTCATGCCTGTAATCCCAGCACTTTGGGAGGCCGAGGTGGGCAGGTCACCTGAGGTCAGGAGTTCGAGACCAGTCTAGTCAACATGGTGAAACCATGTCTCTACCAAAAACACAAAAATCAACCATAGCCGGACAGCTGGACATAGTGATGCATGCCTGTCATCCCAGCTACTCGGGAGGCTGAGACAGGAGAATCACTTGAACCCAGGAGGTGGAGGTTGTAGTGAGCCAAGATCTTGCCACTGCACTCCAGCCTGGGTGATAGAGCAAGACAAAAAAAAAAAGTAAGTTATCCAGAGCTTGGTTTTATTGTTTGCGACCGAAGGAACACTAATATTCACTATATATATATATATATATATATATTTTTTTTTTTTTTTTTTTTTGATATGGAGTCTCGCTGTGTCATCCAGGCTGGAGTGCAGTGGCACGATCTTGGCTCACTACAACCTCTGCCTCCAGGGATCAAGTGATTCTGCTACCTCAGCCTCCCATGTAGCTGGGACTACAGACATGTGTCACCACACCTGGCTAATTTTTGTATTTTTAGCAGAGATGGGGTTTCACCACGTTGGCCAGGCAGGTCTCGAATTCCTGACCTCCGGTGATCCACCCGCCTTGGCCTTCCAAAGTGCTAGGATTACAGGCGTGAGCTACCATGCTGACCCATAGTATTTTATTATTTAATAGAATAGGGGTGGGGCCTTGCTATGTTGCCCAGGCTGATCTCCAATTCCTGGTCTCAAGCAATCCTCCTGCTTCAGCCTCCCAAAGTGCTGGGATTAATATACAGTGTTTTATTTATTTTATTTTACTTTAATTTTTTTTTGAGATGGAATCTTGCTATGTTGCCCAGGCTTGAGTGCAATGGCACGATCTCGGCTTACTGCAACCTCTGCCTCCTGGGTTCAAGCAATTCTTCTGCCTCAGCCTCCGAAGTAGCTGGGATTACAGGCACATGACACCATGTCCAGATAATTTTTGTATTTTTAGTGGAGTCAGAGTTTTGCCATATTGGCCAGGCTGTTTTCAAACTCCTGAGCTCAGATGATCTGCCTGCCTCAGCCTCTCAAAGTGCTAGGATTACAGGCGTGAGCTACCACACCCAGCCATACACAGTATTTTAAAAACAGAAGAAACAGTTTAGATTGTATATTTCATTTTATTATTATTATTATTATTATTTTTTTTTTTTTGAGACGGAGTTTCGCTCTTGTTACCCAGGCTGGAGTGCAATGGCACGATCTCGGCTCACCGCAACCTCCGCCTCCTGGGTTCAGGCAATTCTGCCTCAGCCTCCCGAGTAGCTGGGATTACAGGCATGCGCCACTATGCCAGCTAATTTTTTGTATTTTTAGTAGAGACGGGGTTTCACCATGTTGACCAGGATGGTCTCGATCTCTTGACCTCGTGATCCACCCGCCTCGGCCTCCCAAAGTGCTGGATTTACATCATTTTATTATTGAAGTAACTAAAGGTAAGTGAGATGGCTGTGAGTAAAATCATGTAGATGATGGCAGAGTTAACCTGGAACCCAGGAACGTTAGCTTTTAATCTAGTGTTGTTTCCAAGACTATAACTGTGGTAAAGAACTTGAACTAGGATGAGACTAGAATTTATGTAGAGGTCAGAAGAGGGATGGAGGAAGAAAGAATGAATTGAACAAAATCAGACTGGTATCACTATTACCTTCACTTACACGTATGGAAACTGAGGCTTAGATGATTAGGTAACTAGCCTAAGGTCATAATTTGCATGAAGCAAAACTGGCACTGAGCCCAGAGCTGTCATCAAAGCCAGTGGTCTAAAGCAATATATTATACCACTCGTAACAAAGGAGAAAGAGAACAGATGGTAGAGGAGACTGTGAGAAAAGGACTCCTGGCCAGGCACAGCGGCTCACAGCTACAATTCCAGAACTCTGGGAAGCTGAGGCTGGTGGATCACTTGAGTCCAGGAGTTTGAGACCAGCCTGAGCAATACGGCAAGACTCCCTCTACAAAAAAAAAAAAAAAAAAAAAAAAAAAAAAAATTAGCTGGCCACGGTGGTGTATGCTTATACTTGGGAGGCTGAGGAGGGAGAACTGCTTGAACCTGGAGGCGGAGGTTGCAGTGATCTGAGATTATGCCATTCATTGCGCCACTGCAGTCTGGGCAACAGAGTGAGACCCTGTCTTGAAAATGAGAGAGAGAGAGAAAGAGAGAGAGAGAAAGGACTCCTGTTTCCAAGGATAGGGGCAGCCTAGACAATGGTGGAGTCATTAGAAATCCTCACAGCTGGCTGGTCGCAGTGGCTCACACCTGTAACCCCAGCACACTTTGGGAGGCTGAGTTGGGCAGATCATCTGAAGTCAGGAGTTCGAGACCAGCCTGGCCAACACGGTGCAACTTCATCTCTACTAAAAATATAAAAATTAGCTGGGCCTGGTGGCAGGTGCCTGTAATCCCAGCTACTCCGGAGGCTGAGGCAGGAGAACTGCTTGGACTTGGGAAGTGGAGGTTGCAGTGAGCTGAGATCGTGCCATTGCACTCCAGCCTGGGTGACAAGAGCGAGACTTCATCAAAAAAAAAAAATTAAAAAACCAAAACAGAAATCCCCACAGCTTCGAAACAGCAGGGAGAAGATTCAGGAAGGTGGAAGAGGTACTTCTAATGGCCAAAGTACCCTTTTCTTCAGGACAGGATTAGTAAGAGCCACTATTTACAAAGTGCTTACTCTGCTCCAGAAGTGTGTTTTACATATGATATGTTTAATGAGCATAACAGACTTATCAGTGGGTACTATTATGCCACTTCCAGATGCAGAAGTCAACTGACGTGCCTTAGCTCAAAGAGTGAGTTAAGTGGCAAACCTAGAACAGAAAAGCACATCCACCTAACTTTAAAAACTGCAGTTCTTGGCCACATGTAGTGGCTCACACCTATAATCCCAGCACTTTGGGAGGCCGAGGTAGGTAGGCAGATCACTTGAGGTCAGAAGTTCGAGACTAGCCTGGCCAACATGACGAAACCCCATCTCTAGTAATAATACAAAAATTAGCCGGGCATAGTGGTGTAGTCCTGTAGTCCCAGCTATAGGCTGAGGTGGGAGAATTACTTGAACCCGGGAGGTGGCGGCTGCAGTGAGCCCAGATCACACCAATGTACTACAGCCTGGGCAACAGAGTGAGACTCTGAAAAAACAACAAACAAACAAAAAAAACCTGCAATTCTTTTCTTTTTTTTTTGAGACGGAGTTTCGCTCTTGTTACCCAGGCTGGAGTGCAATGGCGCCATCTCGGCTCACCGCAACCTCCGCCTCCTGGGTTCAGGCAATTCTCCTGCCTCAGCCTCCTGAGTAGCTGGGATTACAGGCACGCGCCACCATGCCCAGCTAGTTTTTTGTATTTTTAGTAGAGACGGGGTTTCACCATGTTGACCAGGATGGTCTCGATCTCTTGACCTCGTGATCCACCCGCCTCGGCCTCCCAAAGTGCTGGGATTACAGGCTTGAGCCACCGCGCCCGGCCCGATTCTTTTCATAATGACAAACTACCTTACGCTGAATGAAATCACATTTGCTCCCTGAGGGAGAAGACGAAAGCAAAGGGAGGTGGGAAAGGGCAGACATACCTTCTAAGAGGGCAAAGGATGATCTGGCTGTATTCTGTCTTCAGCAGTCCTCACAGAGCCTAGGCAACCCTAAGAGTCCCTGGACTGCCTTAACTCCACTTTTTTTTTGAGATGGAGTCTCACTCTGTTGCCCAGGCTGTGGTACAGTGGCGTATATGGGCTCACTGCAACCTCTGCCTCCCAGGTTCAAGCGATTCTCCTGCCTCAGCCTCCTGAGTAGCTGGGACTACAGGCACACACCATTATGTCCAACTAATGTTTACATTTTTAGTAGAGATGGGGTTTCACCATGTTGGCCAGAATGGTCTTGATCTCTTGACCTCATGATCTGCCTGCCTTGGCCTCCCAGCATGCTGGGATTAGAGCTGTGAGCCACTGTCCCTGGCCTTAAGCCCACATTTAAATTCTTCCCTAGGCTATTCAGCAACCAGCAGAGGAACAGAAAGAGGAGGAAGTGGGAAAGATGGTGAAATGGAAGATTGGGGAAGAAAACAAATCTGGATGTAGATCACTCTTTGCAGAGTTTGCACTATACAGAATAATTAATCCCTGTATACTAAGCAGCAGCAAAGGGACTTCCTATTTCCAATTTTCAAGGCAACAGAGAAATTCCAGGGGTGAGGAATTAATGATTAAACCAAGAATAGAGCTGGTGTCTCTCCCCCTGCCCCCCATAGAGATGAGGTCTTGCTATCTTTACCAGGCTGGACCAAAATTTCCCAGCTCAAGCAATCCTGCATCAGCCTCCTGAGTTGCTGGGACTACAGGCACATGCCACTGTCCCTAGCTCAAGAAGGGAATTTTAACTCTAGATTTCTAGTATTTCTTTCTAACCAGATTTTTGTTTTGTTTTGTTTTGAGATGGAGTTTTGCTCTTTCGCCCAGGCTGGAGTGCCGTGGTGTGATCTCGGCTCACTGCAACCTCTGCTTTCCGGTTTCAAGTGATTCTCCTGCCTCAGCTTCCTGAGTAGCTGGGATTACAGGTACCCACCACCACGCCCAGCTAACTTTTGTATATTTTTTTTTTATTGTACTTTAGGTTCTGGGGTACATGTGCAGATCATGCAGGATTGTTGCATAGGTACACACATGACAATGTGGTTTGCTGCCTCCATCCCCCCGAATTTTGGTATTTTTTTAGTAGAGATGGGGTTTCACCATGTTGGCCAGGCTGGTCTTGAACTCCTGACCTTGTGAGCCACCCACCTAGGCCTCCCAAAGTGCTGGGATTACAGGGGTGAGCCACTGTGCCCGGCCCCAGATTTTTTTTTTAGACGGAGTCTTGCTCTGTCACCAGGCTAGAATGCAGGGTCATGATCTCAACTCATTGCAACCTCTGCCTTCTGGGTTTGAGCAATTTTCTTGCCTCAGCCTCCTGAGTAGCTGGGACTACAGGCACACACCACCACACCCAGCTAATTTTTGTATTTTTAGTAGAGACAGGGTTTCACCATGTTGGCCAGAATGGTCTCTATCTCTTGACCTCGTGATCCGCCCGCCTCGGCCTCCCAAAATGTTAAGATTACAGGCCTGAGCCACCGCACCCAGCCCTCTAACCAGATTTATTTCAAGTTCTTTCAAAGTTGTAACTGAATCTCTAGTTCTCCTTGGAATTCCCCCTTTCTCAACAATGCTATGATTAAGGATATTTATTCAAAAAAAGAAGAAGAATTTTTAAAAAAGAACATACATACAGAGAGAGAATGGGGAAAAAGCAGAAAGGGGAGGAAGCAGGTCCAGAAATAGGTCAAAGTACCTCGTGTAAGTATATTAATATAAGAACCAAAGAGAGGTCCTCAAGCACAGAGCTGTGGAGCACAGAGGTGCATACAGGCAGACTCTGTAAGGCTCTTAGGTTGGAGAAAGGAGAGAGACTCACCGTTGTTCGGAGTGCCACATGGGGACAGAAAATAGCCAACTGCCGCACTGGCTCATTCTGAGTGTCGAAAAAGATAGTCATGGCGACCAGGACATCATAGCTGTGAGCCTGGCAGAAAGCATGGAGTTCTGCAAGGAGGTTAGACCTCTGCAGAAAGGCCTGAAAGAGAAGAAACGGAGAGGGATGAAGGACTTCCTCATTATCATCATCATCAATAAAACATCCTTAGAAAGGATTTCTTTGCATGTTAACCTGGGACTTGTGCTCCATAAAAAAGGTATCTAGTATTTATTCTGTGTTATCTATGTGCTGGGAGGCAGTGTGGTAGAATGAGGAGAAAAAAGACTTTAGATTAAAAGAGAACTGGTTTGAAAATCAGCCCTTAACTGTAAGCGGTATGTATGATCAAGGAATTATGCTAACTTCCTGGCCTGGGTTTCCTTGTTTGTGAAATAAGGATACAACACTTACACTAAACACGATTGTTTTAAGAATTCAAAGCTGATAATGTATGTAACGTGCCTGGCATGTTCAAGGCTCTCCTGTTCTTGCAATCAAACAAACAAGGTCTTTGCCTTGTAGGTCTTTTTATTCTAAAACAGAATAATGGAGCATATAAATAAGAGGAGACATGAAAACGGCTTTTCTCTATCTTTGGCATTAAAAAAAAAAATCCTTGGCATTTCTTTCTTTCTTTCTTTTTTTTTTTTTTTGAGACGGAGTTTCGCTCTTGTTACCCAGGCTGGAGTGCAATGGCGCGATCTCGGCTCACCACAACCTCCGCCTCCTGGGTTCAGGCAATTCTCCTGCCTCAGCCTCCTGAGTCGCTGGGATTACAGGCACGTGCCACCATGCCCAGCTAATTTTTTGTATTTTTAGTAGAGATGGGGTTTCACCATGTTGACCAGGATGGTCTTGATCTCTTGACCTCGTGATCCACCTGCCTCGGCCTCCCAAAGTGCTGGGATTACAGGCTTGAGCCACCTCACCCGGCCTCTTTCTTTCTTTTTGAGATAGAGTCTCCGTGTCACCCACGCTGGAGTGCAGTGGTGAAATTTCAGCTCATTGCAACCTCTGCCTCCTGGGGTTCAAGTGATTCTTGTGCTTCAGCCTCCTGAGTAACTGGGATTACAGACGCTTGCCCACCATGCCTGGCTAATTTTTGTATTTTTAGTAGAGATGGGGTTTCACCATGTTGGCGTGAGCCACCATGCCGGGCCGATCCTTGGCATTTCTAATATGTCAATTTGTACTGTAATTACGGTACTTGGCAAGCCTTTTATGTTCCTGTTTCTTTCTCAAACTAGGTTATGAACCACAAGAAAAGAGACCATGCTATTGTGTTTTACTTAATTATTTAGTATTTTTAGTAGTATTTTTAGTACTTAGTAGAAAGCTGTGCAGAGTATGTATTCAGATCAGATGAATGATTATTTTTATTTTTATTTTTTTTTTCTTTTGAGATGGAGTCTTGCTTTGTCACCAGGGTGGGGTGCAATAGAGCAATCCCCTGCAGCCTTTGCCTCCTCAGTTCAAGCGATTCTTATGCCTCAGCCGCCTGAGTAGCTGGGACTACAGGTGCCCACCACTATGTCCAGCTAATTTTTTTATTTTATTTTATTTTTAGCAGAGACAGGGTTTTACCATGTTGGCCAGGCTGGTCTTGAATTCCTGACCTCAAGTGATCCGCCTGTCTTGGCCTCCCAAGTGCTGGGATTTACAGGTTTGAGCCACTGTGCCTGGCCAGACAAATGATTTAAACCAATATGACATGGAACCAGGTATTAAAATTCCATTATTATTATTTTTAGTTTCCACACACAGCATTTAATGGAACACCATTGTTAAAGTTACCTTATCACACATTTATCAAAGTTTACTGAGCATCCACTATGTGCCAGGCACTGTTAAAGGTCCTAGAGATACAACAGACACAAAAGAAATGGTCCCTGCTCTGGTGGAGCTGATAAATTAGCAAAGGAATACAGACAATTAACAGGGAAGCCAGGAAACAAGATCATTTTAGTATGTTAAGTGCTTTGCAAAACAAACAGGCTGGGCACCATGGCTGAGACCTGTAATCCCAGCAGTTTTGGAGGCCAAGGTGGGCGGATCATGTGAGGTCAGGAGTTCGAGACCTGCCTGGCCAACATAGTGAAACCCCACCTCTATTAAAAATATAAAAATGGAGCCGGGTGCGGTGGCTCAAGCCTGTAATCCCAGCACTTTGGGAGGCCAAGGCGGGTGGATCACGAGGTCAAGAGATCGAGACCATCCCGGTCAACATGGTGAAACCCCGTCTCTACTAAAAATACAAAAAATTAGCTGGGCATGGTGGCGCGTGCCTGTAATCCCAGCTACTTAGGAGGCTGAGGCAGGAGAATTGCCTGAACCCAGGAGGCGGAGGTTGCGGTGAGCCAAGATCGCGCCATTGCACTCCAGCCTGGGTAACAAGAGCGAAACTCCGTCTCACAAAAAAAATAATAATAAAATAAAAAAATAAAAATGAGCCGGGTGCAGTTGCGCATGCCTGTAATCCCAGCATTTTGGAAGGCCAAGGTGGGTGGATCATGAGTTCAAAGCTCGAGACCATCCTGGCCAACATGGTAAAACCCCATCTCTACTTAAAAAAAAAAAAAAAAAAAAGAAAAAGAAAAAAAAAAATTAGCTGGGTTTGGTGGTGCATGCCTATAGTCCCTGCTATTCGGGAGGCTGTGGCAGGAGAATGGCTTGAACCCAGGAGGTGGAGGTTACAGTGAGCCAAGATTGTGCCTCTGTACTCTAGCCTTGCAATAGAACAAGACTCGGTCTCAAAAAATACATATATACAAAAATGGCTGGGTGCAGTAGTTCATGCCTATAATCCTAGCATTTTGGCAGGCCAAGGCGGGTAGATCACTTAAGGTCAGGAGTTTGAGACCAGTCTGGCTAACATGGTGAAACCTCATCTCTACTAAAAATATAAAAATTAGCTGCACATGGGGGCCTGTGCCTGTAATCCCAGCTGCTCGGGAGGCTGAGTTAGGAGAATCACTTGAACCTGGGAGGCGAAGCTGAGATTTTGCACTCCAGCCTGGGTGACAAGAGCAAAACTCGATCTCAAAAAATTAAAAAAAAAAATTATCTGGATGTGATGGCATGCAAAAATAATCCCAGCTACTAAGGAGGCTGAGGCAGGAGAATTGCTTGAATCTAGGAGGTGGAGGTTGCAGTGAGCTGAAATTATGCCACTCCACTCCAGCAGGGGCAACAGAGTAAAACTCCGGCTCAAAACAAACAAACAAACAAAACTGCTAGAGGTTTTTTGAGCCTAGGAGATAGTATTTCAGTTAGGGTGTCCAGGAAAAATCTCCCAAAATGAGAGACATCTGAGCTGATACCGGAATGTTAAGAAGGAGCCAACTCTACAAAGAGAAAAGCTCAGCTGGGAATGAGCTTAATGGTTCAAGGAACAGAAAAGACACCAGTGTGGCTACAGTACTGTAGTGCAGGAGTGGAGCTGGAATGAGATGAGGCCAGAGAAAAAGACAGGGGCCAGATCAAGCATGGCCCTGTAAACCACAGTAAGTCCTTTAGACTTTATGAAAAGTACAATGGGGCTGGGCACGGTGGCTCACGCCTGTAATCCCAGCACTTTGGAGGCCAAGGTAGGAGAACTGCTTGAGGCCCAGAGTTTGAGACCAGCCTGGGAAACATAGTGAGACCCCATCTACACACACACACACACACACACACACACTAGCTGGGTGTGGTGGTGTGCACCTGTGGACTCAGCTGCTCAGGAGGCTGAGCTGGGAGGATTGCTTGAGCTTGGAAGGTTGAGGCTGCAGTGAGACACGATGGTACCACTGCACCCCAGCCTGGGCAACAGAGCATGACTCTCTCAAAAAAAAAAAAAAAGGAGGGGGCTGAGTACAGTGGCTCACGCCTTTAATCTCAGCACTTTGGGAGGCCGAGGCAGGTGGATCACGAGGTCAAGAGATCGAGACCATCCTGGTCAACATGGTGAAACCCCGTCTCTACTAAAAATACAAAAAAAAAATTCGCTGGGCATGGCGGCACGTGCCTGTAATCCCAGCTACTCAGGAGGCTGAGGCAGGAGAATTGCCTGAACCCAGGAGGCGGAGGTTGCGGTGAGCCGAGATCGCACCATTGCACTCCAGCCTGGGTAACAAGAGCGAAACTCCGTCTCAAAAAAAAAAAAAAAAAAAAAAAAATTATAAAAGACCACTCTGGCTACTGTGGGGAGAATGGTTTGCAGGGATGCAAAAGCGGAGGCAGGGAAACCAGTACCGAGGCTAGTGGTGCAGTGAGAGATGCTGGATTCTGGTAGTCACAGTGGAGGTGGAGACATGGAGACAGACACAAGGTACATTTTGGAGGTAAACCAGGTGTGAGGAGCAAGGTTGCATGCATAGGATGCATAGCTAAAGGCTTTCTCTCCCCACCCACAGCCACAACTTGCTCTTACCTCCAAATCCATATATATTGCACTAATCGCCACCTTGATGCCTTGTCTATAGATCGTCTTCTGGTCCTTTCTCAGCATCTGCTCAGTGGTCAGTCCTAGAAAGCAGACATGAGGCTAGAGGTTAAACAGGGGAGGCCACGGTCCCAAGACCAAGAAGGTCAGGGCAGCCAGATGGGTCAAGGAAGGAAAAGGAAAAGCATGACCTCTCTTTGGGGCAATGAATGCGGGAGATAATGGAAAATGTATTCACAGCTGGGCACAGTGGCTCAGGCCTGGAATTCCAGCACGTTGGGAGGCTGAGGTGGGCAGATCACCTGAGGTTGGGAGTTTGGGACCAGCCTGGCCAACATGGTGAAAATACTAAAAATACAAAAAATTAGCTGGGTGTGATGGTGGGTGCCTATAATTCCAGCTACTCAGGAGGCTGAGGCAGGAGAATCACTTGAACCTGGACTCCATCTAAAAAAAAAAAAAAAAAAAAAAAAAAAGGAAAGAAAGAAAGAAAGAAAATGTAATTATATTACATAATCAAAAATCATCTTAAATAATTGGTGACAATAGTTACCTTTACAGCAAGGAACTTTGGAGAGAAGAGCAAACCCAGAACAGAGGCTTTTACTTTTGATTTTCCCCCCTTCCTATACTGTTTGCATGTGATTCCTTTCTCTCTTTCTTCTTTTTTATGTCAACAGGTGGTAGCTGGGTAGAAGAATATGGAAGTTTTTTTGTTCTCTTTCTCTTTTGTATACTTACAAAATATTTCTTTTGCCTCCCTAACCAATTCTTTTTTTTTTTTTTTTGAGACGGAGTTTCGCTCTTGTTACCCAGGCTGGAGTGCAATGGCGCTATCTCGGCTCACCGCAACCTCCGCCTCCTGGGCTCAGGCAATTCTCCTGCCTCAGCCTCCTGAGTAGCTGGGATTACAGACACGCACCACCATGCCCAGCTAATTTTTTGCACTTTTAGTAGAGACGGGGTTTCACCATGTTGACCAGGATGGTCTCGATCTCTCGACCTCGTGATCCACCCGCCTCGGCCTCCCAAAGTGCTGGGATTACAGGCTTGAGCCACTGCGCCCGGCCTCCCTAACCAATTCTATAGATTTCACTCTGATAATTTAGTACACTCTTAGCATATTTTATGTATATGACCTACATTCTCTGAATATACTAGAACCTCTGAGTCTCTTTTTTTTTTTTGAGATGGAGTTTCACTTTTGTTGCCCAAGCTGGAGTGCAATAGCGTGATTTCAGCTCACTGCAACCTCTGCTTCCTAGGTTCAAGTGATATTCCTGCCTCAGCCTCCCAAGTACCTGGGATTACAGGTGCGCACCATCACATCCAGCTTTTGTATTTTTAGTAGAAACAGGGTTTCACCACGTTAGCCAGGTTAGTCTCAAACTCCTGACCTCACGTGATCCACCCGCCTCAGCCTCCCAAAATGCTAAGATTACAGGCATGAGCCACTGCACCTGACCCTTCTGAGGTTTTTTTTTTTTTTTTTTTTTTTTTGAGATGGGGTTTTGCTCTTGTTGCCCAGGCTGGAGTGCAATGGCTCGATCTTGGCTCACTGCAACCTCCACCTTTTGGGTTCAAGTGATTCTCCTGCCTCGGCCTCCCAAGTAGCTGGGATTATAGGCATGTGCCAGCATGCCTGGCTAATTTTGTATTTTTAGTATAGACAGGGTTTCTCCATGTTTGTCAGCCTGGTCTTGTACTCCTGACCTCAGGTGATCGCCTGCCTTGGCCTCCCTAAGTGCTGGGATTACAGTCGTGAGCCACCTAGCCCAGCCTAAGTTTCTTTTATTTTTTATTTATTTATTTTTTATTTTTGTATTTTTAGTAGAGACGGGGTTTCACCTTGTTGCCCAGGATGGTCTCGATCTCTTGACCTCGTGATCCACCCGCCTCGGCCTCCCAAAGTGCTGGGATTACAGGCTTGAGCCACCGCGCCCGGCCAGCCTAAGTTTCTTAATACATTCTTTCTCATTCTACCCAAGAGCCAGGATAGAACAATCCAGTGAATGCTATTTCATGCTTAGGCTAATATGCTACCTTGTTTCTCTCTGATATAAGATTTAAATAACTGGCTGGGTGTGGTGGCTCACGCCTGTAATCACAGCATTTTGGGAGGCTGAGTTGGGCAGATCACCTGAGGTCAGGGGTTTGATACCAGCCTGGCCAACATGTTGAAACACTGTCTGTACCAAACATACAAAAATTAGCTGGGCATGGTGGTGGGCACCTGTAATCCCAGCTATTTGGGAGGCTGAGTCAGGAGAATCGCTTGATCTTGGGAGGCGGAGGTTATGGTGAGCCGAGATTGTGCCACTGCACTCCAGCCTGGGCGACACAGCGAGACTCTCTCTCAAAAAATAAATAAATAAAAGTAAAAATAATATAATGAACAAGGCTTGCCTTCCAATTTTCCATCTGGGAAGCAGAAAAGGCAGTTAACACTTCATACCTGATACATCAAACTTTGCCTTTTGCAGGGAATCAAAGATATCATTTCTCTTGGGTAGATCAGGGAAAAGGGCCTCTAATTTCTCCACATATCTGCTGTCCTTTGGGGTTGCCTTTCCAATTTTAAGGTCCATGTTGACACAGTCCAAGATGATGGTTCCTGTGGAGAAGGGAGATGGTGGAACTTGAATCCTGTGACCCTCCGCACACGCCCACCAGAACATACATAACCTTCACACCAAATGAACACAATTCAGTTATTTGCACAGCAAATTCTCTGAAAGCAAAATGAGAAACTGGGACTGACTGTGTCTCGAGAACTCCCAAATCCAAACTAAAATGTAGGTAGGGAAATGGGGAAAAGGTAGAAAGCAAGCCTGAGCATCTCAATGCTTGGAGATTTTACAGCCTAGTCAGAGAGAGACACACCTCTTCAGCAGGCCAAATGCCATCAAAGAATCTTCTAAGTTGGAAGAGACAGTCCAGTCCAACTCTCTCTCTCTCTTTTTTTTAATAAGTAGAAAAATGAGAACAAGAAAGGTTAAGAGATTTGTTCAGGCCGGGCGCGGTGGCTCAAGCCTGTCTGTAATCCCAGCACTTTGGGAGGCCGAGGCGGGTGGATCACGAGGTCGAGAGATCGAGACCATCCTGGTCAACATGGTGAAACCCCGTCTCTACTAAAAATACAAAAAATTAGCTGGGCGTGGTGGCGCGTGCCTGTAATCCCAGCTACTCAGGAGGCTGAGGCAGGAGAATTGCCTGAACCCAGGAGGTGGAGGTTGCGGTGAGCCGAGATCGCGCCATTGAACTCCAGCCTGGGTAACAAGAGCGAAACTCCGTCTCAAAAAAAAAAAAAAAAAAGAGATTTGCTCAAGGTCACCTCACTATTTCCTGGAGGAACTGGTATTAGAATCTGTTTCCTGTTGCTTTGGCGAGTCCTCCTTCCATCAAAAAATGATGCCAACAGGAAGCTTCTTGGTCTGTTGCCCTGTACTTTCCCCAACAAGTATCCCACAGACCTTTAAACAGATGCTTAATTGTCTCCCGAAAGAGTCCCATCCTTTGGTATGAGCTGAATGGCTCTGAGAGCATATGGTTAGGCTGGAAGAGTCTAGACTTTTCCATCCTCCCATCTCAGGGATAGGAATAGAAGTACTCAGGTTCCAATCCAAAAGCCACCCTCACCGTGCAGAAGGGCTGCAGTTTGCCTGTCCAAGATCTCTGGCGCCCCCTGCAGGATTCTCTCAGTCACCAGGGTAGCACAGGACCCTACCAGCTCAACTGAAACATGGCAGGGAGGGCAGTGTTTCTGCTCGATGGGCCGATGGTCTAGCACCTCTGCCACCGCCTCCTCTAGGGCTGCGTCACTTCTGTGGAGGGGAGGGTACGGGAAAAGAGAAAAAAAGATAAGTAGGGACACTCCAGCTGCTTCTAACCAGTCTCCGCCCCACCCATCAAGGAAAGCACAGCTGTCTTAGGCAAGCTTTTTTTTTTTTTGAGACAGAGTTTCACTCTTGTCACCCAGACTGGAGTGCAATGGTGCTTTCTTGGCTCACTGCAACCTCCGCCTCTTGGGTTCAAGTGATTCTCCTGCCTCAGCCTTCCAAGTAGCTGGGATGACAGGCCCCCCCACCCCCACGCCTGGCTAATTTTTTTTTTTTTTTTTTTTTTTTTTGAGACGGAGTTTCGCTCTTGTTACCCAGGCTGGAGTGCAATGGCGCGATCTCGGCTCACCGCAACCTCTGCCTCCTGGGTTCAGGCAATTCTCCTGCCTCAGCCTCCTGAGTAGCTGGGACTACAGGCACGCACCACCATGCCCAGCTATTTTTTTTGTATTTTTAGTAGAGACGGGGTTTCACCACGTTGACCGGGATGGTCTCGATCTCTTGACCTCGTGATCCACCCGCCTCGGCCTCCCAAAGTGCTGGGATTACAGGCTTGAGCCACCGCGCCCGGCTTAATTTTTTTGTCTTTTTAGTAGAGACGGGGTTTCGCCATGTTGGCCAGGCTGGTCTTGAACTCCTGACCTCAGGTGATCTGCCAGGTAAGCATTTAAAACTGACCTTTGGTCACTTTTACGTCTGCCTCACTCCTCTCAATTCTTGTCTTTAATGTTATAATTGGAGTCATCTTTAAATGGTGTATAAGCGAATTCTGTGAAGCATCTCCTACAAATATCTTACGCCCACAGTTGCTGTCCTTTAGCGTTGCCTTTCCAGTCTTATCGCCTTGCTACCCAACAAATCTCTCCTATTTTTACAACCCACTCAACACTCAGATTCCATGTGGGTCACCAGGTCCTGTGAATTCTATCTTAATCCCTATCCATGCCCTAGTTTCTAACTCTCTGTTACTGCCCTGTTCTAGGCCCTCAATATCTCTCGTCTGGACTATTCCAACAGTCTCTTAACCAATCACCTGCATCCAACCAAAAGCCTTCCTGGGCTGTCCTTCACAAAGTGGCCTGAATGATCATTTGAAAAAAGAAAATCTGATTCTTTTAGGACCCAGAATAAATATAATTTAAAATAGTTCCCCATTGCTTAAAATAAAATCCAATCTACTTAGAAGGGCCTACAAGGCCTCCATAATCTGCCTCCTGCCTGCCTCTGTCTCATCTTTTTCCATGTCCTACTTCTTCCTCAGGTTTTATGCTCCAGCTGTGCAAAACAAATTCTAGTTCCCTTAGCTCACCACGCTATTTCATGCCTGCCTGCGTTTGCTTCTATTCATTACTCCCTCTGCCTGGAATGCCTTTCCTAACCACTTGCCCTCTTCCCTCCCCATTCACCAAGCAAACACCTAGTCCTCTTTTAAGACTGAGATCGCGCCGGGCGCGGTGGCTCAAGCCTGTAATCCCAGCACTTTGGGAGGCCGAGGCGGGTGGATCACGAGGTCGAGAGATCGAGACCATCCTGGTCAACATGGTGAAACCCCGTCTCTATTAAAAAGTGCAAAAAATTAGCTGGGCGTGGTGGCGCGTGCCTGTAATCCCAGCTACTCAGGAGGCTGAGGCAGGAGAATTGCCTGAGCCCAGGAGGCGGAGGTTGCAGTGAGCCGAGATCGTGCCATTGCACTCCAGCCTGGGTAACAAGGGCGAAACTCCGTCTCAAAAAAAAAAAAAAAAAAAAAAGACTGAGATCAATGCCTGCTTCAGCAGCATATGCACTAAAATTGGAATGATACAGAGAAGATTAGCATGGCCCCTGAGCAAGGATGACATACACATTTGCGAAGTGTTCCAGAAAAAAAAATACATATATATATATATATATATATATATATATATATTTAAAATAAAAAATAAACTAAAATTTTATTATTATTATTATTATTTTAAAGACCGGGTTTCACCATGTTGGTCAGGCTGGTCTTGAACTCCCGACCTCAGGTGATCCGCCCGCCTTGGCCTCCAAAGTGCTTGGATTACAGGCATGAGCCACTACGCCCGGCCATAAAATAAATTTTTAAAAAGACTGAGATTAAGGGTCACTTCTGCCAGGAAAACTTTCCTGATGTTCTCGCCTTCTTTCTGGTGTACTGAATCACTCCATCCTTCTTGTACCTGCTGTTCCCTCGAGGTGACAGTTATCACTGACCTCTGACACCTATTATAATGATCTGTTTGCTTAGTTCCCTCTCCTTGACTGAAAGCATGAAAACTGGGACTCTGTCTCAACTTCATCCGTTAAAGAAACATTTACTAATAGCTGGGCGTGGTGGCTCAGCACTTTGAGAAGCTGAAGTGGGAGGGTCATTTGAGGCCAGGAGTTCAAGACCAGACTAGGCAACAAAGCAAGACCCACATCTCTAAAAAAAAAAAAAAAACAAAAAACAAAAAACAAAAAACAAAACAAAAAAAATTAGCCAGCCTAGGTGTGGTGGTTTATGCCTGTAATCCCAGCACTTTGGGAGGCCGAGGCGAGTGGATGATTTGAGGCCAGGAGTTTAAGATCAGCCTGGCCAACATGGTGAAACCGCATCTCTACTAAAAATACAAAAAATTAGCTGGGTGTGGTGACACATGCTTGTAATCCCAACTACTGGGGAGGCTGAGGCAGGAGAATCGCTTGAACTCAGGAGGTGGAGGTTGCAGTGAGCTGAAATTGCATGACTGCACTCCAGCTTGGGTGACAAGAGTGAGACTTCACCTCAAAAAATAATAATAAAGTAAAATAAATAAATTAAGCCGGGCGCGGTGGCTCAAGCCTGTAATCCCAGCACTTTGGGAGGCCGAGGCGGGTGGATCACGAGGTCGAGAGATCGAGACCATCCTGGTCAACATGGTGAAACCCCGTCTCTACCAAAAAATACAAAAAATTAGCTGGGCATGGTGGTGCGTGCCTGTAATCCCAGCTACTCAGGAGGCTGAGGCAGGAGAATTGCCTGACCCCAGGAGGCGGAGGTTGCGGTGAGCCGAGATCGCGCCATTGCACTCCAGCCTGGGTAACAAGTGCGAAACTCCGTCTCAAAAATAAATAAATAAATAAATTAATTAATTAATTAATTAAAATTAAAATTAAAAATAGAGTTGCAGGCCAGGTGCAGTAGCTCACACCTGTAGTCTAGCACTTAGGGAGGCAGAGGCAGGAAGACAGCTTAAGCCTAGGAATTCTTTTTTTTTCTTAATTTTAATTATAATTTTTTTTTTGTTTTGAAATGGAGTTTCGCTCGTTTCCCAGGCTAGAGTGTAATAGTGCAATCTCAGCTCACCACAACCTCCACCTCCGGGATTCAAGTGATTCTCCTGCCTCAGCCTCCCAAGTAGCTGGGATTACAGGCATGTACCACCACGCCCAGCTAATTTTGTATTTTAAGTAGAGACGGGATTTCTTCATGTTGGTCAGGCTGGTCTCAAACTCCCGACCTCAGGTGATCCACCCACCTCGGCTTCCCAAAGGGCTGAGATTACAGGTAGGAGCCACCACGCCTGATGTGAGACCTGGGCAATATAGCAAGACCCTGTTTTCTAAAAAAAAGTAATAAATAAGTACAAAAATAAATTTGAGCCTGAGCAATAGAGCAAGACCCTGTTTTCCAAAAAAATTAATAAGTACAAAAATAAATAATAAACAAAAACAGAATTGCAAACATTTTTCTAAGGTTTCTATTATAATATTACAATAAAACTGTCTCAGAATCTTTTTTTTTTTTTTTTTTTTTTTGAGACAGGGTCTCCCTCTGTCTCCCAGGCTGGAGTGAACCACCACACCAGGCCACTTTTTAAAAATTAAAATTAGGCCAGGTGTGGTGGCTCACGCCTGTAATCCCAGCACTTTGGGAGGACGAGGTGGGCAGATCACGAGGTCAGGAGTTCAAGATCAGCCTGGCCAACATAATGAAACCCCGTCTCTACTAATAATACCAAAATTAGCTGGGCATGGTGGTGCATGCCTGTAATTCCAGCTACTTGGGAGGCTGAAGCAGGAGAATCACTTAAACCCAGGAGGTGGAGGTTGCAGTGAACTGAGATCATGCCACTCCAGATCACAGTGATGTGATCTTGGCTTACTGCAGCCTCGACTTCCTGGGCTCAAGTGATCCTCCTACCTCAATCTCCTGAGGGACCACAGGCATTTATTACCATGCCTGACCAATTTTTTAAATTTTTTTGTAAAGACATGGTTTCACCATGTTGTTCAGGCTGGGCTTGAACTCCAGAGCTTAATGGATCCAGCTGCCGTGGCCTCCTAAAGTGCTAGGATTACAGGCATGAGTTACCACACTCAGCCCACAAAATCTTAAAATAATGATACCAAAGGCAGATTTAAATGATTTTTGAGTTATCCTTTGGTTTGAACTTACCATGTTCTATTTCTTTTTATTATTATAGGGTATGTCTTTATGCCATAGACATACATGTAACTGCAGAACCGACAATATTTTGATTTTCTATATCTGATATGACCTATCAATTATGATTAGCCTATTAGATCTCTGAAAGCAAAAACTCTTTTTTCCTCTTTATATCTCACTCATCAGAGCCCAACATGGTACATGATACGTATCAATTTAATTTCCTTGGACTTACTTGGGTAAGATGTGATGGTCGACAAGGATGAGGGTGAGTTGGCCAGCCTGGTGCAATGCAGGGAGATCAATCTCGTCCCGAAAAATCAAGATGCTCTCTGGAATACGAACCTTCTGAAGAAAGAAGACGATGTCACCTCGCAGAGGTAGCTCAGAACGTTTTATATTTAAAACCGGCACAAAGACTTCCTCGGCCTCATTGGTCTAGATAGGAAAGCAAAAAGATATCGCGAAGTTTTATAATGACAGGAAAAAGTAACAAGACTATTGGGATCAAAGGAGACATACTTAGGTAAGTTACCATCTTTCTCAAAGCCACAAAGTACTCAGTCTATGACTCTTGAAAGATGAATCTCGCCCTTCCTCCTTCTTAGCAATAAATGAAGGTCAACAAGGAACTCATAGTAAAGACCTAGTTCTAGATGCAGTGCTACAGAGAAGGAATTATTAGTCCTCAAGGACTAACCTGGGCGGAGGAATAGATCACTGATACCTATAAGGAACTCAGTAACACACTGAATATCACTTTATGGTTTACAAATCCCTCAAAATATATTTACTCATTTTTTCCTCAGAGGAACACTGAAAAATATTTTAGATTTTACAGATGGTCACATGAGACTCAGCAAAGTTAAGGGATTTAATTTACCCAATGCTAAATGCTGGTAAGTGGCAGAGCTGGGTTTTGAATCCAGATCTTTTCATTCGAAGGGACTCGGATCCTAGGTGTTACCTTTTTTTACCCACCTTTGCTAGGTAAAAAGCCAGGGCGAGAGCAGACACCATGGAGTCCAAATCACAGGCTTCATTTCCCAGCACAACATGTAGAGGTCGGGACTCCTGGAGAGGAAGGAAAATGGGAAACTAACAAAAGTATCTCTATCCATTTCCACTTATCATTTTTAAAAAAACAATATATATACTTTTTTTTTTTTTTTTTTTTTTTTGAGACGGAGTTTCACTCTTGTTACCCAGGCTGGAGTGCAATGGCACGATCTTGGCTCACCACAACCTCCGCCTCCTGGGTTCAAGCAATTCTCCTGCCTCAGCCTCCTGAGTAGCTGGGATTACAGGCACACACCACCATGCCCAGCTAATTTTTTGTATTTTTAGTAGAGACGGGGTTTCACCATGTTGACCAGGATGGTCTTGATCTCTTGACCTCGTGATCCACCCGCCTCGGCCTCCCAAAGTGCTGGGATTACAGGCTTGAGCCACCGCGCCCGGCCAACGATATATATACTTTTGAGACAGGGTTTTTCTCTGTCACCCTGGCTGGAGTGCAGTAGCAGGATCAAGGCTCACTGCAGCCTCAATCTCCTGCTGGGCTCAATTGATCCTCCCATGTAGCTGGAACTACAGGCAAACACCACCATGCCCAGCTAACTTTTTGTATTTTTTTGTAGAGACAGGATTTTTGCCATGTTGCACAGGCTGGTCTTGAACTCCTGGGCTCAGAAGATCTATCCACCTCGGCCTCTGAGAGTGCTGGGATTACAGGTGTGAGCCACTGTGCCTAGCCTCTCCATTTACCTTATCCTGATGTAGGGCTGCATATACTTCCTCTCATTGATCGTCACAGAGGAGGTAGGTCAAATAATCTAATGGGTCCCCATTCCATGGATGGCTTTCAGTGTTTCAGCTAAGCTTACAGCATTCTACATATATCCAGTTTGTAGAAAAGTGTTCTTTCCTCCTGTATCCTTGAATGTTAACTTACAGAGCAGTAAATAAACTTCTGATTTTTTTTTTTTTTTTTTTGAGGCGGAGTTTCACTCTTGTTACCCAGGCTGGAGTGCAATGGCGCGATCTCGGCTCACTGCAACCTCCGCCTCCTGGGTTCAGGCAATTCTCCTGCCTCAGCCTCCTGAGTAGCTGGGATTACAGGCACGTGCCACCATGCCCAGCTAATTTTTTGTGTTTTTAGTAGAGACGGGGTTTCACCATGTTGACCAGGATGGTCTCGATCTCTTGACCTCGTGATCCACCCGCCTCGGCCTCCCAAAGTGCTGGGATTACAGGCTTGAGCCACCGCGCCCGGCCTGTAACTTCTGATTTCTTATACTTCTTTGGACACTCAAATAGTCAAAAGACGGGATTTAGGGTAGCTGATATATTCAAGGTATGCTTTTGGGTGTATTAACTCTGGCTGATTTTTTTCTTCCCATTTTCATAATAGGGAAAAGAATGCTTACACTTCTAAATCATGAGAACAGGTGAAAAGGCTTTGAGAATAAAGGTTAAAAATAACATCTAGTCCATTATCCAGATGCCCAGGAAATCTCCCCCTACTCTGAGGCCCAATGATAACCATATATAACCACTACCTTTCACAATCCAAGCAGACACTTTTCCCAGCAGGTTCAGATTAAAGTAAGAACAGTTGCTGCTGCTGCTGCTGGGACTTTTCTTTTTATTTTTTTAAATTTTGAGATGGAGTTTCATTCTTGTTGCCCAGGCTGGAGTGCAATGGTGTGATCTCAGTTCACTACAACCTCTGCCTCTCGGGTTCAAGTGATTCTCTTGACTCAGCCTCCCGAGTAGCTGGGATTACAGGTGCCTGCCACAACATCCAGCTAATTTTTTGTATTTTTAGTAGAGGCGAGGTTTCACCATGTTGGCCAGGCTGGTCTTGAACTCCTGACCATAGGTGATCCACCTGCGTCCCAAAGTGCTGGGATTACACGTGTGAGCCACCATAGAACTTCTCTCTTTAAAGCATTGAAAAGTCCAGCTGCTAAGAAGTCTAGGCGGGGGATATCTGCTGTTTTTAACCTATTCCCTTGCAAATCCTTAGCTTTCACAGTTTTAAATAAAATATAACAGGCCAGGTGCAGTGGCTCACGCCTGTAATCCCAGCTCTTTGGGAGGCTGAGGCGAGTGGATCACCTGAGGCCAGAAGCTGGAGACCAGCCTGGCCAACGTAGTGAAATCCCATCTCTACTAAAAATATAAAAATTAGCCAGTGTGGTGTTGGGCACCTATAATTCCAGCTACTTGGGACGCTGAGGCAGGAAAATCACTTGAACATGGGAGGCAGAGGTTGCAGTGAATCAAGATCACACCACTGCACTGCAGCCTAGGCAACGAGTGAAATTCTGTCTCCAAAAAGTAAAGAAATAAAATAAAATATACTAAAACTAGAGTACCCAAAATTGGGGAGACAGCATCTTGGTTTTTGTTTTGTTTTTAAGCATCTATTGAGTGTGCCAGGCATTATTCCAATATTTTTACATGTGTTAATCATTTAATCCTCAACCTGATGTTGCAGGTACTTAAATTATTTTCACTCCAGGTATAAATATTCTGCTAGGTGGAATGAGACCATAAATCCTATGGCTCAGCATAGGGCACAATACTTCTCTCTTACGAGCTTCCTCTTTTTTTTTTTTTAGATAGGGTCTTACTCTGTCACCCAGGCTGGAGTGCAGTGGTACTATCTTGTCTTACTGCAACCTCCACCTCCTGTGTTCAAGCGATTTTCCTGCATCAGCCTCCTGAGTAGCTGGGATCACAGGCACACGCCATGATGCCTGGCTAAGTTTTGCACTCTTGGTAGAGACTGGGTTTTGCCATGTTGGCCAGGCTGGTCTCGAACTCCTGACTTTCAGTGATCCGCCCACTTTGGCCTCCTAAAGTTTTGGCGTGAGCCACCACGCTGAGCCCACCAGTTTACTTTTTTTTTTTTTTTTTGAGATGGGAGTTTCGCTCTTGTTACCCAGGCTGGAGTGCAATGGCGCGATCTCGGCTCACCGCAACCTCCGCCTCCTGGGTTCAGGCAATTCTCCTGCCTCAGCCTCCCGAGTAGCTGGGATTACAGGTGTGCGCCACCATGCCCAGCTAATTTTTGTATTTTTAGTAGAGACGGGGTTTCACCATGTTGACCAGAATGGTCTCGATCTCTTGACCTTGTGATCCACCCGCTGTAGACAGGATTTTTGTAGAGACAGGATTTTTGCCATGTTGCACAGGCTGGTCTTGAACTCCTGGGCTCAAAAATCTTTTGAGCCACCGCGCCCGGCCTACCAGTTTACTTTTGATCTTCTGTCTCAGCCTGATTCTGAGAGAGGATGGGATGAGAGAGGCAAAACGAGACACACTAAATATAGCAGGGTTTCTTAATTTCAGCATGACTGGTATTTTAGACTAGATAATTCTTTTTCATTTTTTAAATTTTTACTTTTTGAGACAGGGTCTTACTCTGTAACCCAGGCTGGAGTGCAGTGGCACAATCATGACTCACTGCAGACTCCACCTCTGACTCAGGTGATCCTCCCACTTCAGCCTCTTGACTAGCTGGGACTACAAGCATCCACCACCATCCCTGACTTTTTTTTTTTTTTTTTTTTTTTTTTTTTTTTGAGATGGAGTCTTACTCTGTCACCCAGGCTGGAGTGTAGTGGTGCAATCTGGGCTCACTGCAACTTCCACCTCCCGAGGTCAAGTGATTCTCCAGCCTCAGCCTCCTGAGTAGCTGGGACTACAGGTGTGTACCACCACACTAGGCTAATTTTTGTATTTCTTATTGAGACAGGGTTTCACCATGTTGGCTAGGCTTGTCTTGAACTTCTGACCTCAGGTGATCCGCCCGCCTTGGCTTCCTCAAATTCTGGGATTACAGGCGTGAGTCATCGCGTCTGGCCAAATTTTTGTATTTTTTGTAGAGATGGGGTTTCACCATGTTGTGCAGGCTGGTCTTGAACTCCTGGGCTCAAGTGATCCAGCAGCCTTAGCCTCCCAAAATGCTAGGATTACAGGCATAAGCCACCAGGCCCAGCTGGATAATTCTTTTTTTGTGGAGGCTATCCTATGCATCCCTAGCCTCTACCCACATGGATGCCAGTAGCACCCTAAGTCATGACAAACAGAAATGCCTCCAGACTTGCTGAATGTTTCCTGGAGGGCAAAACCACCCCCAGTTGAGAACTACCGGGTTACAGGAAGGTGAAAATCCATATACTCTGACTTCTTCATTCAGGGAAGATTTGCTAGACACAAGAGTTTAACAAAGTGGGAAGGTTCAGAGGAGTAACACGTAGCAAAGAACAGTTATCAATTAATGTAACTTTAGGAAAAAAGAGGAATCTAGGGAAACCTAGAATCATCTTCCCTATACAGGCTGTCACTCCTTCTCTTCCCCAATTGGAAAGCCACAGCTCGAAAGGGGCGATTTTAGAAGACTTCTGGTGGTATCAATTGCCCTATCCAGTTACGAGACAGTTTTTTTTTTTTTTTTTTTTTTTTTTTTTTTTTTTTGAGACGGAGTTTCGCTCTTGTTACCCAGGCTGGAGTGCAATGGCGCGATCTCGGCTCACCGCAACCTCCGCCTCCTGGGCTCAGGCAATTCTCCTGCCTCAGCCTCCTAAGTAGCTGGGATTACAGGCACACGCCACCATGCCCAGCTAATTTTTTGCACCTTTAGTAGAGACGGGGTTTCACCATGTTGACCAGGATGGTCTCGATCTCTTGACCTCGTGATCCACCCGCCTCGGCCTCCCAAAGTGCTGGGATTACAGGTTTGAGCCACCGCGCCCGGCCAGTTTTTGTTTTTAAACCACCCTTTCTTCCCCATCTCTTACTCCCATCCCTGGAGAGAAATACAGGAGACAGAGGTTATCTGTCCGGGCTCTGGCCAAAGGTCCCCTAGGGAAGTTCGCCCTGAGCTCCTCCCCATGCCTATTTCTCTAAGTCTACTTCAAGGGCCCATTCATACTGAACAATACTGGATAAGGGGGATTCTTTCCTTTTTTCCAAAGCAATAAGAGAATTCTACCCAGTACCCCAATACTATAACAATTCCTCTGATACCAGAGACCTCTGTTTCCTGGAGACCAAGAATG